TGGAAGTCCACAATTCCCCTCGTGTGGGATGATAGTGCATGAGACGGCTTTCTGGGGCTTCTGGAAAAATATCTCACTCCAAGAAGCACCTCTTTCCTTATTCGACAGTCACTGTCTGCAAACTTTACCATCGTGGGAAATTTCGACTCGAAGAACGGCTCTCTGCTGTATGATCCGATCTCTAGTAGTACCAACCTCATATCCACGACCTCTGACTGCCTCTGAATAAGGCTGATTGCCATTTTCGTCTTGCCGTCTCATCGCGCGTTGCGCGTTGCGCCATAGTCAGTCCCCCGGGGCTGTCGGCCCGGGCCGTCTCTCTCGCTCTCTGTTTCTTCTTGCCACGATCGTCCGACGATTCTGGGTCGGCAATAACGCTGTCGAATCCAGAACAATCCAGGATATCGGTTCTCCCACTGAGGAGAGAGGCGTAGCTGCTTCTCCCACTCGTCCAGCGAGTGTTGGCAGCGCTTCCTTTTCGCCTCCGCCGATAGCGGCGCACCTCAGGTGCTGCCGCCGCAGTCATCGCACCGTCTGCGGAGGGGCATTTCTCCGCAAATCGCGGCGCAGCTCAGGAACATTTCTCTCCGCACATCGCGGCGCAGCGCAGGAGCATTTCTCCGAGTCCCACGTGATGTGCCAACCCGTCATGACGACGCCCGTGACTTGTCCGCCAAGCGGATGCGGCGGCGACGGCGGCGGCGACCGTCACGGCGAGGGCTACTGCTCCGACTCGGCCTTGAAGTCCCCACCGCAAGTCTCGCATTGTCTCGGTGGCGACGGTTGCGGCGGCGGCGGTGGCGGCGGCGGCAGCGACTGGGGTCGGCGGCATTCGACGCAGCGGGAGCAGGCCGTGCCAACTCGCGACTCCGAGTCGGAGCGCTCGTCGTCCCCGGTGATGACGGCAACGGTGACGGTGATGAGGTCGTCTGAGAACTCGCAACACCACGACGACGACGCGCTTTGGCGATGCGCCACGAGCACGAGAGTGAGTTCACATCACACTTTGACATGAGACCCGGCAGACCTCAGTACTACTGAACCGCCCAACGGAACCTTCGTCCTCCCCGGTGCTGACGGCGACGGTGAGGGTTATGGGATCCGACTCGCAACATAGTTACGACGACGCGCTTTGGCGCTGCGCCACGAGCACGAGGGTGAGTTCAGTCGCATCCGCCCACCCGAACCGCCGCCACTTGCGGGGGGAATCGTCGTTGCCATCAAGAACCTTCCCTAGTGCACGACGAATCTTATTTCGAGCAAACTTCTTTCTAACGGTCACACACACACCCACGTGTCCCCCATGCTGGCTGCTGCAGGTTCCTCGCGCTCCCTCGTCCGCACGATCGCGGATCATTCCAATGGACGAGATCAAAGCGCATTTTCACATGCCCATCAACGACGCCGCCGCCAAGGTACAACGACTATTCCATAGTGCACACAACCCCAAGTAATGATGTGGGTCACTCAGATGCTCTCCTTTTCCGTTTTCTCATTTTTTTGGTCTCTCTCTTTTCTTGCACGAGTGCCTTTGCGACGTGCTGAGACATTCTATCAAAGGCACGTCCTCTAGACCGTCTCAGCACGTCGCAGAGGCTTTGACGTCGTGTCGCGCACGTCTCTTCCTCCCTTTTTTCTGGTGGGCCTACTATGGTACTAATGATGATGGCGATGGTGGTGGTGCAGATGGGTGTGTGTGCGACGGTCCTGAAGCAGCAGTGTCGCGACTACGGCATTATTCGTTGGCCTTTCCGAAAGGTAACACCATGTTGCAAATATCGCCTCTGACGGTGACGTTAAAGGCTGGTAGAATGACGGTTTTCGCCTTAACGAGTCACATACACAACCCAGCAACCCGCCTTCGCTTTCAACCTCGTCATAATCGCAAGAGCCTCGCAACTAACGACCCGCGTTTCCTGTCGCATGTTTTACAGGTGCGCAAACTCGACAGGCTGCTCGTCGCTCTAGTGGAGCAGCCTATAGAGGGGATGACAGACCAGGCGGCAGCAGCAGCAGCGGCTGCTGCAGCGGCAGCAGGGGCTTTTAAGAACCGAGCGATCGCCAAAGCCCAGGAGGTGAACCCGAGCGCCTCTCATCATATTCCAGACTTGAAATAACAACACTTGTTTCTGTCAGCACCCATCGTGATATTTGTGAGGAATCGATTGATAAGGCCTGTGAGGTGAGAGCTGGCTCAAGTGATCATCCACCCATTCCCCCTCCCCCCTCCCCTTTCCCCCTCCCCTTTCTCCCTCTCCCTCCCTCTTCCCCCTCCCCCCATGGCAGCGCAAGCGCAAGCTAGAGCAAGTGAAGGGGGCTCTAACCGAAGTGATCGTCAACCCCAACTGCTCAGGTATGATAGCGCACGCCAAATGGGGAAAAGTGTCGCAATAAGGCTGGCATTGAACGAGAAGATATTTTTCCAAGCATATGCCACGACCTATGTCATGCCCTTTTCTTTGCTTTTTTTGTTTAGGAATCATTTTTTCTCCTGGTAGTCCCCAATAGAGAACTATCCTATCCGCCTCTTCCCCTACCCCCCATGGTTTGCCCTGCATGCAGCTCACCTCAAGGTCGGCAAGATGAGGGTCGTGCCAAAAGCTCCTTGCCAGCCCGCCGCACCAACTTTTAGTCGACTCAAAACTCCTCCCTCTCCACCTCCCCCTCTTCTCTGTGTGCCCGGCATGCAGCTCACCTCAAGGTCGGCAAGATGAGGGTCATGCCAAGAGCACCTTGCCAGCCCGCCAGCACCAACAACACCAGCAACACCAGCAACAGCGGCGGCAGCGGTGGTTGCGGTAACGGCAATCGCGGCAGCAGCAGCGGCATTGATGCGCCTCGACTCGACAACCCTCTACTCCTCACTCCTCGATTCGACATCCCTTACGCTCCTCCTCCACCTCCCCCAAACGCTCCTCCTCTGCCTCCTACTCCACTTGCTATGTTGCCATCGCTGGCCTATCCCCCAGTTCCTCTTGCCCCTCCCGCTTTCCCTCCCCCTCAAGCTTTCCCTCTCCCTCCACCCTTCCCCATCCCACCTCGACTTCCTCTCTCCACTGCACCAAACTCCCTGCTACAGCTGCCGTACCCCACTACACCAATCTCCCTTCTACAGCCATCGCACCCCACTGCACCAAACTCCCTGCTACTGCCGCCTCACCCCACTGTGCCAGCCTCCCCACTACAGACGCCGCACCCTGCTGTGCCATCGCCGTTTGATTCTCGCTCCTCCTGCACTCCAATAATCGTGCAGGACAGCTCATTTCTTGAGTCGACTAAGAAACAGTTTCACTCGCTATCCTCCTGCACACCGGCGTGTCAAAGTGACAGACTCGTTAAGAGCTCATCTCTTAAAAGTCAAAGTGATACGCACGTTACGAGCTTGACTCTCCAGGCTCTGGAAAGCTACGAAGCCTGCCCCACTTGGCCTGGCCAGGTGATAGCTCAGGTGAAGCCTCAGGTGGAATCTCAGGTGGGATCGGATTCGGGAGCATCTGGAGTGACAAATCCGGCTAGCATGGAGCAGCAGCAGCAGCACGAGTGTCATCCAGCAGGTTTGATACCTGCTGCTACAGCCCAGTTTCAACACCTGGCTGCTGCTACAACACCTCCCCTCCTACACAGCTCATCATGTGACACATCACCACCGAGCCTCTTTGAGCTGGACCTGCTCTCTCGCCTGCATGCTGCCGAACCAGGGGCGTCCCGAACCTGTGGCCGCCAGGAGAAGCAGGAGCAGGAGGAGGCTGTTTGTGGGTATCAGGGTACCACCCTGACCCTGTCACTTGCAGTCGGACATATGGCCAGCAGTGGCAAAGGCGACGACTGTGGCGATGCTTCGAATGGCAACGATTTGAACCGCGATGCTGTGAATGGCGACTTGTTGAATGGTCAAGGAGGACCCGACAGAAGAGGTGAAGGAGCGCGGCGCTCTGAGGATACAGCCCAACCAATTGTTGCAGAGAAGAATGAAGGTGATGGTTTGACTTCCAAGGAGCAAGCTATTCTCAAGGTTGGTTTGGCCGTTGGGGCTGAGATCAATCTTAGAGCTAACTTGCCTAGTGGTAGTCAGCAGCAGTGTTGCTGGTCCTCGCTAGATGGGTTCTTTCCCTCTCCTGCTGTTCCGCTGTATAGGCTACAACAGATTAGCAACGTTTGATCATGTAGGACATGCGATAGTGTTGCTGTTTAGTCTCTATATAAATACTGCAATATATAATACATACAATTTTGCCATTTGTTGTATATGGTGAAGGGTTACAACCACATGTCAAGCTTGTGATCTCATTATGTTGGCCTCTTTACAAAGGTGAATGACTCTGTAAGACGTACATGCATCTCCTACCCGCCTCATGCAAATTCGCATGATTGCGAGGTTGTGCATCCGTGCGAGGTTGTTCATGCGCGCGACTTTTGAACCCGATGATTGGATAATACATACGAACAGTGACTAAATGACGTCATCCCTGTGTGAATGTGTTCATGGATGATTGCTCTCACTGGGGGCGAAATTCGGGAGCTTTTTAATGCGGTTAGACGCGCTGTTTGGCGTTCCAGAATGGTGCATTGTAGTATTAGATGTTTGGTTTGGGTTCCTTTCGGCCCTGCGAAGCTAGGGAGGCAGTATGTACAGTACACTTGTACAGTTGTCAGAGGCAGCAGAGATTGCTTATACAGCTGGATAAGCAGTGAATACAGCTGTGCAGAATAAGGTGGTCACCAGCAGCAGCATTGATAATAAATAACCTAGAGTTGGTGGATTTTTGCCATAGCTCGTCGCGCTGCCGGGATGAGCAGCAACTGGAATCGTCTGGAAGCACCTAGATTACTTCCGTGGCAGGGTCCCCTCCCAATCGGTCGCTGGCATAGATCCCACGGGACGATGCGAACGACAATGGTTGTCTTTTGTTACCTTTTCTCAAAAAGTCACTGCGACCCACCCTGCTCCTCATTAGTAGTTTCTTCTGGCTTTATTCTCAGCTGACTGCTGAGTCTCCGCCATGGGCGCGTTTCTTGGTCGGCCTCGGCCGATCAGGGCCGACGGGAAAGTCGTGCTCATAACTGGGTGTTCCGAGGGCGGAATCGGTTACGCATTAGCAGTGTAAGCGTCTCGAAACTGCTAGCTTCACGCGTGCCACGCAAACTATAGTGCCAGCTGCAAAGATGCGTTTCAACGTCCTTGCGGGGGGGAAAAAAAATAGAGGCGATTTTTTTTATTATGATTATTTTAAAATAATATGGCGCCATCGTTGTCAAATCAGTAGTTGGTGGTAGTATGTGAAGCAGCATTTTCAAGGCTCGTCGGAGTTGGACAGTCGTGATTGCCTGTTCGGTGAATTGAAGCAGTTTTGATAATTTCGTGAATTCTGGGAGTACGCGCGACAATTTCATAGGCGCTTCATTAAACATTGTTGCGTAGAATCATGTGATACCATTGCGAGGTCTCAATTGTTGGCATGCCATGGGTTGGGTGTCGAATTCGTTTGATAAATCGCAGAGAGTACGCCCGACGAGGGGCCACGGTGTACGCTACTGCGCGCCGATTGGAGGCCATGCGCGGGTTACAGGAGCAGGGCGTGACTATAATGAAGCTAGATGTGACAAACGAGGAAGATATTCAGGTAGGCCATGCACAGATACTACGCTGTTCACCGTTTGAATGAGACTTTATAAATACAGCGTCTATAAATGACAGATGACTAATTTGAGTCGGGCCGTGCACCCTCCCACACCATTCTAGAGCTCCATTTAATCTGCCCTCTGAGAGATGGGCGAGTAGATTCTGAGTTGACTTGAAATGCATCTCCATTTTCTCTGCACTATCCCAACCTCTGACAGCGAACAGTTGAAACCATCATGAAGGCAGCTGGGCGAATAAATATGCTAGTCAACAACGTTGTTGTCTTCTCCACTCGGCCCCTGGCTGACACGTCGCTTTTCTAATTGCTTTTGTTTTTTACTGAAAAATCACACCTTTTTTTCTGCTCTATCCCAACCCCTGACAGCATGCAGTTGAGACAATTATGAGGGATGCTGGGCGAGTAGACGTTCTCGTCAACAATGCTGCTGTCTTTGCCACGCGTCCCTTGGCCGACACTCCGCTTCCGGATTGGCGCGCGCTGTTCGAGACGAACCTGCTCGGCGTGGTTGCGATGGCCCAAGCCGTGTTCCCACACATGGCCGAGAGGAAGCAGGGACTCGTTATAAACGTCTCCAGCTGCGCGGGTTTCTGCCACCTGTGAGTCTCGTTTTGGAGAGGAAGGACTAGGCGGGCGATAGCTAAGTGTTATGCCATGCCATGCACTGCTTCCAATTGACCCTGTGTGACGCCACAGTGTTCGGATAGTTTTCCACCATTCTACTCTCTTTCTATTCCTCTTGCCCCTCCCTCTTCTCCTTCCTCCTCCCCTTCCTCCCCTTACCCTCATCACATGCTTTATCTCAGCCCCATGGAGATGAAGCCCCTTTTATTCCCCTCTCTCCTCTCCGCTTCTTGTACCCCGTGTTGCCACAGCCCCATGGCAGCAGCCTATTCGGCATCCAAGGCAGCACTGAACGCAGCGACCAACTGCATGCGCATGGAGATGAAGCCCTTTGGAGTGCGTGTCATGCTAGCAGTGCCGGGATTCATCAAGACCAAGATACACAGGTGATATACACGTGGGGAGGGGGGCAGGCCATGCATATCTGTATGAATGAGGTCTATCTGTCTGATGTAGCCCTTTTTTTTTGCTCACGGAAGAATGCAGTATGGTGTGTGTTTTTGGGATGTGGCACGAGTGTTGTGTGAGCGGAGATTATGCAGTGACGTTTTTTCAGTCGCTTAGACGCATTTCTGTTGTCATGGGCCTCTAACCTCCTATGTATTATGCTCCATTCTTTTTCCATGAATCCCACTTGCGCTGCTCTATTCACCCCAGCAATGAGCAGCACAACAGGAAACCGTTGCCATCCAACAGCTTGTACAAGTCATGTGAGAGTCGGCTGAACCACCTTTCCGAGTGGGCAGTGACGAAATTTGTAGAGACAAGTCCAGAAGAATTTGCTGAAGCTACTGTGGATGCTTCTTTGAAGCGTGATCCCCCATGGCGCTTCTTTATGGGGGCGGGATGGAGGCAGGCAATGTACGGCGTGTGGTTATTGCCGATGTCATTTATTGACATGGAATTGTGGAAACCCTATCAAGCTTGTCTTGAGGGTCCATGATTTTCGTGTTAGTACATTTATTTTGTTGTATAACCTTGAAAATGTTGATGTGAAATTTCGTCTCCATAACAGCGTAGAGCATAACGAGGCGATGGATGTTCAGTACCTTCAGGCTCGGCTGAACCGTCCGATCTGATAACGAATGGCTGAAAGCCGTTCTGTTTTCTTTGAAAATGTGTGTGTGCTGGATCTGGGGCTCGGCACTCCCACCACTATACGTGCACCTTTCGGTTCTTATCGGTTCTTCTCGGCCATACACGGTCTGAGCTGGGTATGAAATCTAGGTTGGATTGGATGTTTTCAAGAGCACAGGAAAACGGGAGCAGGGGATCTGTGTCTCTCTATTTGACCAGGATTTGTCAGATGTCGGATTCTAGACTGCAGTAATAGTGTATCGACGCGCTAGTAGCAGGTTCTAGAGTATTGTTATCAGCTTGGTCGCGCCAGGAGACTGATCAGGGGTGCTAGACTACTAGCAGTGTGGGGTGGTCCGTATCAAGCTTCATACTAGACCGGTTAGATCCTGTGGGCGAAGCACCTAGGTCCACGATGGTTGAAATGCCAGCAGCCGCGTCGGATCGACGGGTTTAGCGCGATGAAAACGCGACTCCCAGCATTTTCCCGACGCACCAATTTTTTTGCACTACATATACTAAATTTTTGCTTCGTTTTCGCATTTCATACAGACATTTCAGAACGATAAAGAAGTCCGAGAAGCTAGATCGTGCGGCTTATTTGGCTTAGGTCTCGAATCCCCCTCCTTTCTTCAGCGACCGTCACACGAGCCTCATCATCTGTCTCTATCTGACCTAGATTCGTTACAATCACGCTTCGTTAGGCAGCATTTGCCATAATCTCGGCCACGTGATTCGATTCCTTGAAATTCTGTCACCCCTCTGAGAGTCTCTCATTTCCTTCAGAATCTCTCATACCCTTGCAAGACCATCATGTACGCGCAAGGGTCCCCGGGGTATCACACCCCGTACACGTCCCCCTATGCCTCCCCCTACACCTCCCCGGCCATGGGGGGCCAACTCCCGCGCCGGCCGATCCCCATGCCTTCCGGTTCCGCGCCCGCCACCCCCTCCTCGGGGGACGCGCGGCTCGCCGCGTCGCACGGCTTCCAGTACAACGCGCGCGTCGCCACGGCGCTGCTGCCGTGCGTGCTCGTGCTTCTAGGCGCCGGCGGGCCGCTCGTTGTAGGCACACTCGTCGCGGGGCTCATGATCTCCTACATCCTCGACGCGCTGCAGTTCAAAAACGGCGCTTTTGTCGCCATCTGGTGCACCTTCTTCACCACGGCGGCCGCGCTCGCCTTTTCCGGGCTCGGCTTCGCGCCGCACATCCCCGTTATAATCTCCGTGCTGATCCTCCTCACGGCGATGCACCTCGTGTTCCTCTGCGGCGTCTGGGTCTCGCTCCAATTCCGCTGGCTGCAACTCGAGCATCCCTTTGTAGTCCTCGCGTTAGAGCGACTCCTGTTCGCGTGCACGCCCATGACAGCCATCGCTATAATCACATACGGGCTCATCGCCGCGATCGGCGCGGCCCACGCGCCGTTCTACCTCATGCCGTGCGTGTTCGCGCTCTACTGGCTCTTCTCCCTCCCACGCGCCTCCTCCTTCAAATCCCCCAAGCACACTCTACAGCAGCAGCAGCAGGCGAGGCACGGAGGCAAAGAATCCTCCCAGGATGTGTGGATTATCGGGCCGATGGAAGGGTTGTTTCACATGATGCTCGTGCTGTTCCTGCCGTGCGGGTTTCACCTGGCGGTGCATCATAACCGCATCTTTGAGTCCGCGAATGAAGCGTGCGACACGCTGCTGCTTTTCTTCGTGCCCGTGCTCTTCGTGCTGTACGCGTCGAAGAAAGGGGCGCTCAATTGGCTCACGACTGACAAGGCCAAGCTCAAACGAGTGAGTGGATTCGATACAAGGGACACCTTGTAACGGGGATGTTGTGAGCTGCTGCTCTTCATCACCTCCTTCCTCCACTCATCCAATTGCCTGCTTCCCTCAACCACCTCCGCCCATTCCCTCCGTTCCACTTCCCGCCTCCCTCCTCCGTCCGCCCATTCGCCCCCTTCCACTTGCCGCCTCCCTCTTCCCCACTTTCACTCCCACTGTCTCCTACCCCCACACCCTCTCCATCCCGCCCCATCCCGTCCCCCCCAATCCCTCTCCAACAGGTGCAAGTGCTCAACGGGGGTTTTTTCCCCTTGCGGTCGTTCTCATCTGCTTCGAAATCCGCGTCGTATTCACCTCCTACGCCCACTACATCCACTTCCCCTCAATCCCCTCCTCCCAGTCCCCCCTTTCACTTCCCACCTCCCTCTTCCCACTTCTCCCAATCCCACTTCCCTCTTCCACTTTCCGCCGTCTCCCCCACTCCCCCACAACCCCCACCCCCTTCCCAACAGGTGCAAATTCTCAACGGGGGGTTCTCTCTCGCTGTTGTGCTCATCTGCTTCGAGATCCGCGTCATCTTCACGTCCTACGCCCACTACATTCACTTCCCCCCACCCCTCAACTACCTCCTCGTCGCTCGCCCCTTTTCACCCCCACCCCAACAGGTGCAAATTCTCAACGGGGGGTTCTCCCTCGCGGTCGTGCTCATCTGCTTCGAGATCCGCGTCATCTTCACCTCCTACGGCCACTACATCCACTTCCCGCCGCCCCTCAACTACATGCTCGTCGCTCTTGCGCTCTTTGGCCTCGGATTCGGCTTCGCCGCGCACATGATGGGCGTGCTGAGGGGTGCAGTGGGGTCTGCAGTGGTGACCACCGTGCTGCTGGTGTCTGCTGTGGCTGGATCGCTCGTCATTGGCATGCCCGTCACGGTAAGTCTTCAAGGAGGGAGAGCTTGGCAATTCCTTAAGAAGGGGGGAAAGGGGGACACGGCAAGTTCTTTGGGTGGGGGAGGGATGAGGACTGAGACCGTGCTGCTGGTGTATGCTGTGGCTGGATCGCTCGTCATTGGCATGCCTGTCACGGTAAGACTTCAGAGGAGGAGGGCACGGTAAGCCCTCTGGTGAGGGAAAGGGGGGACACGGTGAATTTTTAAGGGGGGGGGACTGGGACCGTGCTGCTGGTGTCTGCTGTGGCTGGATCGCTCGTCATTGGCATGCCTGTCACGGTAAGTGAGGAATCAGTATCGGCTTTGAACGGGGGGGTTGGAGGTGGGCGCAGGCTGGGAAATTGAGGGAGCGGGCGAGGAAGAGGGAGGAGGGGACATGGTAAGGCCTTTGGGGGGGAACTGGGGAGTGGTAAGGCCCTCTGCTTCTCCTTTTACTGCCGTCCATGCCACGTGCTCCCTGCCCCGGCCATAGCAGCAGCGTTCCTCGCCCATTACTACACCACGGGCAGCATCACCTCCTACTTCATCTTTGCATCATACTTACACTCCTCTCCCTTGCGCCCCTCTTTTCCCTCTGCCTTTCTTCCCCCACTGCCTCTCTTTCTTCTTGATTCCATCTCAGGTGCTCCCTGCCCCGGCCATAGCAGCAGCGTTCCTCGCCCATTACTACACCACGGGCAGCATCACCTCCTACTTCATCTTTGCATCATACTTACACTCCTCTCCCTTGCGCCCCTCTTTTCCCTCTGCCTTTCTTCCCCCACTGCCTCTCTTTCTTCTTGATTCCATCTCAGGTGCTCCCTGCCCCGGCCATAGCAGCCGCCTACCTCGCCCATTACTACACCACGGGAAGCATCACCTCCTACTTCATCTTTGCAGCAGCCTCGTTACTAGCAGCAGCGTGGTTCGTCATGGACCAGTACTTCGCCCTTGCTATAGTCTTCGCAGGCGTGACCCTCAAGGCCCTGTGCCAGCAGCTGCTACTCCTCCTGCTCCTGGCGCTCTTAGTTCCAGGAGCTGCCCTCTTTCAGAAGTCCCAGCGAGTGGTGGGGATCATCGTGGTGGCTCAGGCATTCCTGTTTGCCGGGTAAGCTCAACCACTTGTCTTTGGATTCTGAACTGTTGCGGCCATCTGCCAGCGGAACTGCTCCTGGCGCTCTTAGTCCCAGGAGCGGCCCTCTTCCAGAAGTCCCAGCGAGTGGTGGGGGTCATCGTGGTGGCTCAGGCATTCCTCTTCTCCGGGTAAGCTCAACCACTTGTCGTCGCAGGCATGACCCTCAAGGCCCTGTGCCAGCAGCTGCTACTCGCCCTGCTGCTCGCTCTCCCCGTGCCAGGAGCAGCATTCTTCCAGAAGTCCCAGGTGGCTCAGGCGTTCCTCTTCTCCGGGTAAGTGAATTGGTGCATGCGAGGGAGGGAAAGAGGGAAAGACGGAATGAGGGTAAGAGGTGATGAAGGTATGAGGACGAGAGGAAGGTCTTCGCAGGCGTGACCCTAAGGCCATCTGCCAGCGGAGCTTCCTCGCGCTGCTCGTGGCACTCTTAGCCCCGGGAGCCGCCCTGTTCCAGAAGTCGCAGCGGGTGGTGGGGTGGGGGTCATCGTGGTGGCTCAGGCATTTCTCTTCTCCGGGTAAGCTCAACCACTTGTCTTTGATTTCTCAACTGTTGCGGCCATCTGCCAGCAGAGCTTCCTCGCGCTGCTGCTGGCTCTCCTAGTATCAGGGGCGCCGCGCTCTTCCAGAAGTCGCAATGGGTGGGTGGTGGGGGTCATTGTGGTGGCTCAGGCGTTCCTCTTCTGCAGGTGAGGCTCACCACATGTCTTTGTATTCTCAACACGCAGGGATGACCCTCAAGGCCATCTGCCAGCAGCTGCTCCTCGCGCTCCGCCTCTCTCTCCTCGTCCCAGGAGCTGCCCAGGTCCAGAAGAGCCAGCGGGTGGTGGGGGTCATTGTGATGGCTCAGGCGTTCGTTCCTCCTCTGCAGGTGAGTGTTCTGAGGGGAGTGGTTGTGCTCTGGGGAGGTGGGGAAAAGGGACGGCTGAAAAGGTGATGCACAGAGCAGTTCAACGGAAAGGGTCTCGCATACTTCGTACAATCCAACCGCCCTCCTCCCTTTTCCTTTCCCCCCTCTCTCCTCCCATCAGGCTCGAGAGTCTGCTGTACAACGGGGAGGGGCATGCTGAAGGCGGCGTGTACCCCGCCTGCCTAATGCTCGATACCATGCTGGCAGGTTCTGTCTCCCGCTGTTCCCTTCTACCTCCTTACCTGTGCTCCCGCCCGCCCCCTCGTCCCCCCAGGCTGGAGTTTTTGCTGTACAACGGGGAGGCTCATGCTGAAGGCGGTGTGTACCCCGCGTTCCTGGTCCTCGCCACCACGGTGGCTGGGTTTGTCGCGATGCGCAAGCTGCGGATAGCGGGGAAGATCGGGGCGGTGGCGGAGTGGGTGGGCATATGTCTGTACCTGTCGAAGCTGCCCATGCTCGTGGTGCACTCGCAGGGCGTGCTGCTGGGCTCGCAGTTGCTGCTGCTTGCCATCTCGCCTCCATTCTTCCTCTACCAGTGAGCCTTTTTTGCTCTTAAAACCCTCCTCACCACCTATGCTCGTATCACCCTTGCTCGTATCACCCTTGCTCGTATCCCCCTTGCGCGCATGCCATGTATGGGACGTCACAAGACTTGAGTAGTCCACCCATCATTCGCCCCTCCCTCCCCCCTCTCACTAACACTCCCCCCACCCTCAATCACATGCGCACAGGGACAAGTCTCGCCCCGGGTCGCGCATGAAGCCATGGATGGCAGTGCTGCACGCAGCGCTCGTCCTCCTCACAGTGCTCCCACCCTCTCCCTCCCATCCCCCTCCCCCCGTTCCCCCCACGCACACACTCAATTCTTCACCCTCGCAGGGGCAAGTCTCGCCCCGGTTCGCGCATGGATGGCAGTGCTAGTGTTCCTCACAGTGCTCTTCTGCCGCTACGTCATCTTTGACGTCATCGTCTCTGCCTCCCTTGTTACACACACACACAGACAGGCACATAAACCCACACCCAACCAAACATTCATTTTCACTCCCCTTTCCCCCCCTCCCCACGACCCTCCTCCCCCCTCCACTCCTGCTTCCACCCCCCTCCCTCTCACTCTCAGGGACAAGTCTCGTCCCGGATCACGCATGAAGCCATGGATGGCAGTGATGCATGCAGCGCTCGTCCTCCTCACAGTGCTCTTCTGTCGCCACTCCCCCCCCCCCCCTCACAAATGAGCAGGGACAAGTCTCGCCCTGGTTCTCGTATGAAGCCATGGATGGCAGTGATGCATGCAGCGCTCGTCCTCCTCACAGTGCTCTTCTGTCGCCACTCCCCCCCCCCCCCCCCCCCTCAAAAATGAGCAGGGACAAGTCTCGCCCTGGTTCTCGTATGAAGCCATGGATGGCAGTTATGCACTCGGCGCTCGTGCTCCTCACAGTGCTCTTCTGTCGCTACGTCATCTTTGACGTCATCGTATCTGCCTCGGGTCACAAGCCCTCCCACGCACTGCTCATCGGCTCTCTCGGTCTCATCGCAGTCGCTGGCTGTCTGCCCATCGGGGTGCTTCACTTCCCCAACAGCCTCGTGAGTGCTTGTGCCCCTTCAAAGCTGCCTCTTCCTTGCTTTTCTTTCAAAGATGTGTGTTTGGTGTCTCTCTGCCTGGCAGCACTGGCAATAGCGGCATGTCTGCTCTTCCTCGTGCTGCAGCCTCCACCTCCCCCCCCCCTCCTCCCCGCATGGCACGTGGTGTGGGATGGCAACCACTTCCCTGACGACCTCCCTCTCTTCCCTGCACTCCCCTGATTCCCCACAGGATGGCAACCACTCTCTGCTGCAGAAAGCGAGGAGGGCGGGAGCGCTGGCAGTAGCGGCCTGTCTGCTCTTCTTGATTCTCCAGCCGCCGCTGCCCCCCGCATGGCACGTGGTGTGGGATGGCAACCACTTCCCTGACGACCTCCCTCTCTTCCCTGCACTCCCCTGATTCCCCACAGGATGGCAACCACTCTCTGCTGCAGAAAGCGAGGAGGGCGGGAGCGCTGGCAGTAGCGGCCTGTCTGCTCTTCTTGATTCTCCAGCCGCCGCTGCCCCCCGCATGGCACGTGGTGTGGGATGAGGACCACTTCCCTGATGACGATCCGCTCTTTCCTGCTTCACTTCTCACCCCTTTCACTGATGCAGAAAGCAAGGAGGGCGGGAGCGCTGGCAGCGGCAGCCTGTCTGCTCTTCCTGATTCTCCAGCCACCGCTGCCCCCCGCATGGCACGTGGTGTGGGATGAGGACCACTTCCCTGATGACGATCCGCTCTTTCCTGCTTCCCTTCTCACCCCTTTCACTGATGCAGAAAGCAAGGAGGGCGGGAGCGCTGGCAGCGGCAGCCTGTCTGCTCTTCCTGATTCTCCAGCCACCGCTGCCCCCCGCATGGCACGTGGTGTGGGATGAGGACCATTTCCCTGATGACGATCCGCTCTTTCCTGCTTCCCTTCTCACCCCTTTCACTGATGCAGAAAGCAAGGAGGGCGGGAGCGCTGGCAGCGGCAGCCTGTCTGCTCTTCCTGATTCTCCAGCCACCGCTGCCCCCCGCATGGCACGTGGTGTGGGATGAGGACCATTTCCCTGATGACGATCCGCTCTTTCCTGCTTCCCTTCTCACCCCTTTCACTGATGCAGAAAGCAAGGAGGGCGGGAGCGCTGGCAGCGGCAGCCTGTCTGCTCTTCCTGATTCTCCAGCCACCGCTGCCCCCCGCATGGCACGTGGTGTGGGATGAGGACCATTTCCCTGATGACGATCCGCTCTTTCCTGCTTCCCTTCTCACCCCTTTCACTGATGCAGAAAGCAAGGAGGGCGGGAGCGCTGGCAGCGGCAGCCTGTCTGCTCTTTTTTATTCTCCAGCCACCTCTGCCCCCCGCATGGCACGTGGTGTGGGATGAAGACCATTTCCCTGATGACGATCCGCTCTTTCCTGCTTCCCTTCTCACCCCTTTCACTGATGCAGAAAGCAAGGAGGGCGGGAGCGCTGGCAGCGGCAGCCTGTCTGCTCTTCCTGATTCTCCAGCCACCGCTGCCCCCCGCATGGCACGTGGTGTGGGATGAGGACCATTTCCCTGATGACGATCCGCTCTTTCCTGCTTCCCTTCTCACCCCTTTCACTGATGCAGAAAGCAAGGAGGGCGGGAGCGCTGGCAGCGGCAGCCTGTCTGCTCTTTTTTATTCTCCAGCCACCGCTGCCCCCCGCATGGCACGTGGTGTGGGATGAAGACCATTTCCCTGATGACGATCCGCTCTTTCCTGCTTCCCTTCTCACCCCTTTCACTGATGCAGAAAGCAAGGAGGGCGGGAGCGCTGGCAGCGGCAGCCTGTCTGCTCTTCCTGATTCTCCAGCCACCGCTGCCCCCCGCATGGCACGTGGTGTGGGATGAAGACCATTTCCCTGATGACGATCCGCTCTTTCCTGCTTCCCTTCTCACCCCTTTCACTGATGCAGAAAGCAAGGAGGGCGGGAGCGCTGGCAGCGGCAGCCTGTCTGCTCTTCCTGATTCTCCAGCCACCGCTGCCCCCCGCATGGCACGTGGTGTGGGATGAAGACCATTTCCCTGATGACGATCCAGACGACTCCACCATCTATGGGCAGAGCGTGGAGGGGCCTGTTTGGCCCGTGTGGCTGCTGCTGGGAACGATCGTTTCTGCACTCGCGGCATTCTTCTCAGCTATCCCCATTGCCAAGGTGAGTGAGTGTGGTGTCGGTGGGGTCGTGGGTGGAGAGGGAGGGCCACTTCCCTGATGACGATCCAGACGACTCCACCATCTATGGGCAAAGCGTGGAGGGGCCTATTTGGCCCGTGTGGTTGCTCGTGGGAACGATCGTGTCCGCCCTGGCTGCCTTTTTCTCAGCTATTCCCATTGCCAAGGTGAGTATTTGGGAGTTAGCGGGTAGAGAGAGAGGGCCACTTCCCTGATGACGATCCAGACGACTCCACCATCTATGCTTCTCTGTTCTTCCCTGCCCTTCCCTGCCCATCCCTGTCCTGCCCTCCCCTTCCCTGCCCTTCTCCACTCAGCCAAACCAAGTTCGTCCCCATGCTTCTTTGTTCTTCCCTGCCCTTCCCTGCCCCTCCACTCACAGGTCGAGTCCGTTCGGCTCATCTATTCAGTGGCCATCGGCCTATCCACCGGCATCTACCTCGCAGCCAAGTTCATTCCCCTTGCGCCCATCCTCACCTGCTTCTTGCCTTATTTACCCCCCTCAACCCCCAACCCCCCGCTTTCTTCCCCACTGTGCCTCTTTCCTAAATGCACAGGTGGAGTCCGTTCGTCTCATCTATTCATTCGCCATCGGCCTATCCACCGGCATCTACCTCGCAGCCAAGTTCATTCCCCTTGCGCCCATCCTCACCTGCTTCTTGCCTTATTTACCCCCCTCAACCCCCAACCCCCCGCTTTCTTCCCCACTGTGCCTCTTTCCTAAATGCACAGGTCGAGTCCGTTCGGCTCATCTATTCAGTCGCCATCGGCCTATCCACCGGCATCTACCTCGCAGCCAAGTTCATTCCCCTTGCGCCCATCCTCACCTGCTTCTTGCCTTATTTACCCCCCTCAACCCCCAACCCCCCGCTTTCTTCCCCACTGTGCCTCTTTCCTAAATGCACAGGTCGAGTCCGTTCGGCTCATCTATTCAGTCGCCATCGGCCTATCCACCGGCATCTACCTCGCAGCCAAGTTCATTCCCCTTGCGCCCATCCTCACCTGCTTCTTGCCTTATTTACCCCCCTCAACCCCCAACCCCCCGCTTTCTTCCCCACTGTGCCTCTTTCCTAAATGCACAGGTCGAGTCCGTTCGGCTCATCTATTCAGTGGCCATCGGCCTATCCACCGGCATCTACCTCGCAGCCAAGTTCATTCCCCTTGCGCCCATCCTCACCTGCTTCTTGCCTTATTTACCCCCCTCAACCCCCAACCCCCCGCTTTCTTCCCCACTGTGCCTCTTTCCTAAATGCACAGGTCGAGTCCGTTCGGCTCATCTATTCAGTGGCCATCGGCCTATCCACCGGCATCTACCTCGCAGCCAAGTTCATTCCCCTTGCGCCCATCCTCACCTGCTTCTTGCCTTATTTACCCCCCTCAACCCCCAACCCCCCGCTTTCTTCCCCACTGTGCCTCTTTCCTAAATGCACAGGTGGAGTCCGTTCGTCTCATCTATTCATTCGCCATCGGCCTATCCACCGGCATCTACCTCGCAGCCAAGTTCATTCCCCTTGCGCCCATCCTCACCTGCTTCTTGCCTTATTTACCCCCCTCAACCCCCAACCCCCCGCTTTCTTCCCCACTGTGCCTCTTTCCTAAATGCACAGGTCGAGTCCGTTCGGCTCATCTATTCAGTCGCCATCGGCCTATCCACCGGCATCTACCTCGCAGCCAAGTTCATTCCCCTTGGCCCCATCCTCACCTGCTTCTTGCCTTATTTACCCCCCTCAACCCCCAACCCCCCGCTTTCTTCCCCACTGTGCCTCTTTCCTAAATGCACAGGTCGAGTCCGTTCGGCTCATCTATTCAGTGGCCATCGGCCTATCCACCGGCATCTACCTCGCAGCCAAGTTCATTCCCCTTGCGCCCATCCTCACCTGCTTCTTGCCTTATTTTCCCCCCTCAACCCCCAACCCCCCGCTTTCTTCCCCACTGTGCCTCTTTCCTAAATGCACAGGTGGAGTCCGTTCGTCTCATCTATTCATTCGCCATCGGCCTATCCACCGGCATCTACCTCGCAGCCAAGTTCATTCCCCTTGCGCCCATCCTCACCTGCTTCTTGCCTTATTTACCCCCCTCAACCCCCAACCCCCCGCTTTCTTCCCCACTGTGCCTCTTTCCTAAATGCACAGGTCGAGTCCGTTCGGCTCATCTACTCAGTCGCCATCGGCCTGTCCTCCGGCATCTACCTCGCAGCCAAGTTCATTCCCCTTGCGCCCATCCTCACCTGCTTCTTGCCTTATTTACCCCCCTCAACCCCCAACCCCCCGCTTTCTTCCCCACTGTGCCTCTTTCCTAAATGCACAGGTCGAGTCCGTTCGGCTCATCTATTCAGTGGCCATCGGCCTATCCACCGGCATCTACCTCGCAGCCAAGTTCATTCCCCTTGCGCCCATCCTCACCTGCTTCTTGCCTTATTTACCCCCCTCAACCCCCAACCCCCCGCTTTCTTCCCCACTGTGCCTCTTTCCTAAATGCACAGGTGGAGTCCGTTCGTCTCATCTATTCATTCGCCATCAGCCTATCCACCGGCATCTACCTCGCAGCCAAGTTCATTCCCCTTGCGCCCATCCTCACCTGCTTCTTGCCTTATTTACCCCCCTCAACCCCCAACCCCCCGCTTTCTTCCCCACTGTGCCTCTTTCCTAAATGCACAGGTCGAGTCCGTTCGGCTCATCTACTCAGTCGCCATCGGCCTGTCCTCCGGCATCTACCTCGCAGCCAAGTTCATTCCCCTTGCGCCCATCCTCACCTGCTTCTTGCCTTATTTACCCCCCTCAACCCCCAACCCCCCGCTTTCTTCCCCACTGTGCCTCTTTCCTAAATGCACAGGTGGAGTCCGTTCGTCTCATCTATTCATTCGCCATCGGCCTATCCTCCGGCATCTACCTCGCAGCCAAGTTCATCCCCCTCGCGCCCATCCTCTGCCGCCTCCTCCTCCTCGCTGCCTCTGTCCTCGCCGCCCTCTTCCTCGTCCTCACGCACCACCCCACCGCCTGGAGCGGCCGGCTCATGCCCCCCCTCTTCGCTGCCCAGATCCTGCTCTTCCCGCTGCAGTGGCTGGCGCTCGGGCGGGCGACTTTGGTGGACAATGGGGAGGGGGAGGAGGTTCCGGATTTCTATGAGGAAACACGGCTGGAGGTGAGCAGCAGGGGGACAGGGCAGGGTGGGACGCGGTGGGAAGCGGTGGGAAGGGTGGGATAGTGCAGAGGTGGTTCTGGGGCGGGCAATGTTGGTGGACAATGGGGAGGGGGAGGAGGTTCCGGATTTCTATGAGGAAACACGGCTGGAGGTGAGCAGCAGGGGGACAGGGCAGGGTGGGACGCGGTGGGAAGCGGTGGGAAGGGTGGGATAGTGCAGAGGTGGTTCTGGGGCGGGCAATGTTGGTGGACAATGGGGAGGGGGAGGAGGTTCCGGATTTCTATGAGGAAACACGGCTGGAGGTGAGCAGGGAGGGAGGGAAGGGCATGAGAACGGTTGGGTGTGGCGGGACGTGGTGAGTAGGGGTGCGAAGTGGTGGGGTGCGCTGGGGCGGGCGACTTTGGTGGACAATGGGGATGGGGAGGAGGTTCCGGATTTCTATGAGGAAACACGGCTGGAGGTGAGGGGAGAGGGGCATGAGGGGGGGGTTGGGTGTGGCAGGACGTGGTGAGTAGGGGTGCAAAGTGGTGGGGTGCTGTGGATGGGCCACCATGGTGGACAATGGGGATGGGGAGGAGGTGCCATTGGAGGAAACAAGGTTGGAGGTGAGCAGAGAGGGTACAGGGGTGTGGTATGGTGTGGATGTGGGAGGGGCTTGGTTCGAAGTGGTGGGAAGTGGTTGGAAGGATAGGGAAAGTTGTTGCAGATGGAAGGTTAGGTGCCTCCTTCTCCCTCTTTGATACCCTCCCCTCCATGTCCCCCCCTGTTCACCCACCGTTTCCCACCCATCCAGACCTACGCCAACTCCCTCTGTGCCATCTTCTGCACCTTCTTCCTCCTCGCCGCCCTCGTCATCAAGTTCAAGCTCTCAGCAGCACTACGGGACAAACTCACGGGTGCCGGTGCGGGCAGCGGCCGGGCAGCAGTGGGAGGGGTGGGCGGCGAGGGCTCGTCGACCAATGGGGAGTCGGCTCTGCCCAAGAGCTCTCCGTTTGGCCCCAAGCACAGAGCCATACAGGTGGGTTGTGAGCGGTTGGGTATGGTAGTAGCCGTTTAGGCCGGGTTGGCTGAATTATTAGGGTTTTCCTAGCCCAGAGCCATAGAGGTGGGTTGAGAGCTGCACAGGTGTGTTGTCAAGGAAAAGAGGGCCGCACAGCTTGAGACGCCTCACAAGAAAAAGGCACCTCTCGCCTCTGTGCCCCCTCCCTCTCTCCTGCAACTGATTATTCACTGCCGTTCCCCATGTCCCCCTCTGTTACACAACCCGCTCTTATACAACCTCAACCCCCCTTCCCTCTTCCCTCTCCCCCTCTCCCCTGTTTTTTCCCCTGATTCCCTTCACCCTCCCCCACCCCCCCCCAGACGCGCCCTCTGAAACTGCTCGCGTCTTTCTTCTACCGCAAGGTCTGGATGGCGCTAGTGGGCAACGTCAGCACCATGCTCGCCTTCATCCTCTGTCCCTCTCCTTCCACTGCTCCCCTGCGACCCTTTTTCCTTCCATCCCCTCTTCCCCCCCCCCTGCCCGCCCCTTCTTTCCACCAACCCCTCTCAAACCCATCCCAGACGCGCCCTCTGAACCTGCTCGCCTCCTTCTCGCGAAAGTCCTGGATGCCTCTCGTGGGCAACATCAGCACCATCCTCGCCTTCATCCTCGCCCTCTCTCTACGACTTCTTGTTCTGCTATTTTCCACCCTCCCCTGCTGCCACCTCTTTCCCCTCCCTTTCTCCCCCATTTCCCCCCCCCTACCAGACCCGCCCTCTGAACCTGCTCGCATCCTTCTTTTCCCGCAAGTCCTGGATGCCTCTGGTGGGCAACATCAGCACCATGCTCGCCTTCATCCTGGCGCTGCTGCTCTCCTCTGAGTTCGCCACCACAGACACCGCCAACCATGCCATCTTCCTGCTCGTCCCCATCCTCCTCCTCCTCAACCAGGACTCGCAATCCCTCGGCTCTTTCACCGACCGCCACCGCTACTTCCCCCTCACCGCCGTGCTCTCAGGCTACCTCCTCTTTACCGATTTCCTCCTGCTTTTCTCGGAAGCCTATTCTGGAATTTACTACTGGGGGACGGAGTGGTTTTCAGAAGACGACGCCTTTTTCCAGTGCGCGAAATCCCTCCTCCTCCTGCTGCTCTGCGCGCCGATGCACTACGTGTTCAATCGGTTCATGTGGGATAACAAGCGGCGTGCAGATTATCTGCTCTTGGTGCTCGGACCGTTGTGTCTGCCTGCTGCTGTGCTGCCGACAGGAGGGGATGAGCTGCCGTCTATAAGGACGGCCGGGTGCCTTGGAGTGATGTATGCTGTGGTGCAGTATTTGGTTTCTCGGCACATTAGAATCGCAGGGATGAAGTTTATTTAGAGCGGGTCTGCAGATTGTGGTGCGCTTATGCATGGAGCGGTTCTGCAGGGTGTGGTACGGTTCTACACAGGACGGTGGTTATGGTGGTGGTACGGTACTACTAGTGGGTGATTTATGGAATAGATGTCCCAAAGTGTTGTACCGGTATGTTTAGGTGGTGTTCGTTTGACAAGGTAGTGGCTGTGTTTGGGTACAAACCGTTTGACCCCAACTCTGTTGACTGGCCTGACCTGACTCAGTACTTAAGTACAATCATAGGCATGACTGGTTCACAATTGCCGTACCACACGTCTCAAGGATATGTTCTAGGGGCTCCCCCTTCTTGGTCATGTCTACGGTTTAAGCAGGCCCTCAAATTGGTCAAGCGGCGGTCTGACTAATTAGACCCAGAGGTGACACGGCACGTGGTGCACGTCAGAGTCGCATGTGCTTTCTCCAGTGCGAAGAAGCAGGCGTAAGAATAAGCTTGCACGGGACAAAATGTAGGGACATTTTTTGAGTAGGGTGTATCATTGTTGCGTTTGATGAGCCAGGAGACATCAGTGATACAATCTGTTCAGTGAGATATTAGATATTGCATAATGATGTGCACACTTTAGTGAGTCATTACTGAAATGCTACCATTTTAGCTCGTCCAGTGCAGGGCTATTGGGGGTCAGTGAGGCAGCGAAGGTGCGAGCCACAGTGGCCACCCATTGGGTGTAGAAAAAGTAGCACCAGGCAGTCCATGAGACCAGGCCCTGCAATGCGGGTGCATAACAGCAAGCAGACAGGTACAGAGCGGTGTGAGGTGGTGGGAAGCAGGAGAAACAGTAGCCACCCATTGGGTGTAGAAGAAGTAGCACCAGGCAGTCCAGGAGACCAGACCCTGCATCGATAGGAGGGGTAACGGAAGAGGTGCAAAGCGGTGAGAGGTGGTGGAAGGCAGGAGGCAGTGCTCAGCCCACCCATTGTGTGTAGAAGGGATAGCACCAGGCAGTCCAGGAGACAAGGCCCTGCATAGGGAGGTGCATAACAGGAGCAGCAAGCAGCACATGGCATCACACATCATCACATGGCAGCACATGGCATCACACATCATCACATGGCATCACATGGCATCACATGGCATCACATGGCATCACATGGCATCACATGGCATCACATGGCATGGCATGACACTTGCAGAGGGGGTGGAGTGGGGGCAGTGGCCTCACCTCTCCTGCAATGTAGATGTCTGGTTCAGTGTAGTGCCAGAGCCCCCAGTATCTGGGGTGGGGCAGGGTGAGGCAGGGTGGGGCAAGGTGGGGAAGCGTGGACCAGGGTGGGCCAGGATGGGGTGGGTTGGGAAAGAGTGGGGCGGGATGGGACGGGGTGGGGCGGGTGGGGAAGGGTCGGTTGTTATGTTGCCTAATGCGGATCATTTTAAGGATAAAGACGTCTACATGATCGAATCGAAACTCCTTATCAGCATTTTTGAGGCAAGAGGGCTGATGGCGACCGTGGAGGTCAAGGGAAAACCAGTTGGCAGTTAGCGTACTCACCTTCATTAAAATCACAGTTCTCCCCATTTTTACACTCCCAGACTTACTTCATTATAAGCACTTCTGAGGCGGGGGCACCAATGGCGACAAATAGAGCGAGGAGGTACCCAGGGAGGGTGCGATCAAAGGCGAACCAGTTGGCATGGGCGCACAGTGCGAGGATAACGAAAATGCCTGTAGAGGGGATGGCATGAGCCTCAAAGAGCTGCGAGCTGAAGTGGAGGAGGCTGATGAGCACGCTGGGAGAGATGAGAGGGACAGGTGAAGGGGGGTGGGAGCGACAGGGTCAATGCCTTAAAGGGGATGGCATGAGCCTCGAAGAGCTGCGAGCTGAAGTGGAGGAGGCTGATGAGCACCCTGAGAGGGGGGAAGGGGAAGGAGAAGGGGAAGGAGAAGGGGAAGGAGAAGGGGATATGGGAGGGACGGGAAGGGAGTGGATCACGGTGAAAGGACCAAGACAAATGCCGTTAGAGGGACTGCCATGGGCCTCGAATAGCTGAGATCTGAAGCAGGGGAGGCTGATGAGCACGCTGCGATGGATGAGAGGGGCAGGCGAAGGGGGATATTGGAGGGAACAGGAGAGGGAGGAACGGGAGCGGGAGGGACAGGGTCAATTCCTGTAGAGGTGATGGCATGTGCCTCAAAGAGCTGAGATCTGAAGAGGAGGAGTGCGAGGGGGGGGAAGAGGGGAGGGGAAAAGGGATATGGTAGAAATCGAACGCAGGCTTGAATGCACATTTTCACGCACACACACACACTCACACACGAACAGTCAAACAACCAAGAAAATTAAGAAAGGTCTGCTCAACCCATGCAGCTGAGCAGGCGCAGCCAGGAGCCTTTTGGACGCGAGGAGGCGAGGGAGAGCCAAGTTAACAGCCAAGTCACATGTACCAGCCAAGGCACTTAGGCATCTTATAACGCGTGCAGCCACCAGTTAACAGCAAGTCACTCACCCCATGTAGCTGAGCAAGCGCAACCAGGAGCCCCTGGGAGGGGAGGAGGCGAGGGAGAACCGTCACCTGTACCAATCAAGGCACTCAGGCACCTTATAACGCGTACAGACACCAGGTGTGGTAACAGCAACCCACTCACCCCATGCAGCTGAGCAAGCGCAACCAGGAGCCTCTTGGAGGGGAGGAGGCAAGGGAGAACCACGAGGAGGATGCGGAAGAAGAGGAGGTGGAAGAGGAGGAGGAAGAGGAAGGGGAGGTGGAAGAAACCGATGCTGGCTGCAGCTCTTCCCGAGGAGAGGCAGCAGTATGAGAGGATTTGAAGGCGGATTGGTCGATGAGTAGCTGCAGGCCGCCAACAACGGCGTACATGGCTCCCAGCAGAGGGAAGACCCACACGCTCGTGTACAGGCCGTCTGGGCCTCCCAGGATGAGGCCTCCATTCACGTCGTACACCTGATGGGAGGATGGATAAGTGGTAGACCATAGAGGGAGAGAGGCGATGTGAGTGTGTGTGTGGCATGGTGGTGCTGCTGGGCAGCAGAGGGAAGACCCACACGCTCGTGTAGAGCCTGTCCGGTCCCCCATTTATGAGCCCTCCATTCACGTTGTACACCTGATGGGGGAAGGGATGGAGACAGGATAGGTGGGTGTGTGTGTGTGTGTGTGTGTGTGTGTGTGTGTGTGTGTGTGTGTGTGTGTGTGTGCGTGTGTGTGTGTGTGTGTGGCATGGTGCCGCTGGCTGGTTAGCAGAGGGAAGACCCACACGCTCGTGTACAGGCCGTCTGGGCCCCCTATTATGAGCCCTCCATTCACATCGTACACCTGATGGGGGGCGAGAGAGCAGAGGGCGAGAGTGAGGAGGGCGAGAGAGAGTAGGGTGACCTGCCACGTGGACTGAGGCATCTCAAAGGCAAGCGCTAGCCAATGAATAACGTGTGACATGCAGAGGCGTGGCCAATGGGAGGGGGCGAGAGCAGGGAGAGGAAGAGGGCAGGGAGAGGGAGAGGGCAGCGAAAGGGCGAGAGCAGGAGAGGGCGCACCTGAAGGCCCACAACGGAGTGAATGCCGTCCAGAGGCGGCCCCAAGGCGAACCCAGCCACAAAGAGACAAGCCAGCACAGTGGGCCAGCTGAAATGGGCGGCTGGGAGGGAGATACAAGTAGCATGGATGGGAAAAGGCAGGTCGACATGAGCATGTGAGGAGCAGGTGAGGAGGATGTGGGGACCAGGAGCTAAAAAGGTGTGATGAACAATTAGACCCATGCTGATTCTCTCTCGCATTGAACTATCCAGTTGCTTTTTGCATCTGTTCAAATTGCACCCCTTTCACTCAACTCACACCGCTCTCACTCACCTCACACCGCTCTCACTCACCTCACACCGCTCTCATTCACCTTCCACTTGCACTGTCACTCATCGATGCCGTTACTCACCTTCTTCCGACTCTGGCCGTGCTTCTGTGTCAACACCCTCGCTAATAGCACCTTGGCCTTCAATCACATCTGGCTTCTGCTGCTGCAGCCGCTGCGATTTCTTTGGTTCCTGCTGATCCTGCGCTTCTGAAGCGGACGGCGTCGGGGACTGCGGGGAGCTAGAGGAAGATGCTCGAGTGGGCCCCAATCGAGATGATTTCCGGCGACCAACGGAAACTGACGAATTCATTGACGGAGTCCGTTCGACTGACACTTGAATTAGACTTCGGATCCCGGTTGGATAACACGTTCCCGCAGAGCTGTGTTTCCGTGGGCTATCAGAGGAGAAGCCTAAGATCGCAAGCGGGGCGTGTGCCTTACCTATCCTCTCCGAACAGGGAATCTGTCGCGGACCTACGTTTTTCAGGAAACTGGCCGCCATAGTCGCTGATTTCTAGCGCCGAGTTCGCAAGAGTTGTGCTGGACGACAATGGACGAGCAACAATTGCATTCAGGGGTAAAGAAACTACGTTTTCTGCAAACCGTCTCGTCCGAAGTAGGCTGCGCCTCGTGACCTGCCGTACAACGGAAAGCCCTGATGGGAAGGGTGAGACGAGCCATACGAAGATTGGACGAGAAAATGTGGAGTAGAAATGCACATTGCAACGTGAGCGGCAACATTTGTGGGCGAGTCCGTGCCACGTTGTTTCAAGTTCCACGTACATCTAGCCCAGGTTTTGGGAAAAGGGAGCTTCAAGGAGCTTTTGACGGGACGATTCGGGAAAAAAACAGGTGTACAGTAAAAGCGTTTCGATATCAACCACTTAATGCTTTCAAACAGAGACTAGAAAAAACTTTTGTAAGACTTCTGAGTCTATTTCAAAGCTTTATCCATGTCATGATTGAAATACATGGCACAAAAAAATAACAGGATTGTATAAACTTATCCAGCTAGCACTAGCACAGCAGCACAAGTACCTTAACTCTATCTCCCATCTCACCACCGATTCTCACTCAATAGCCAGTCTCCACCTTGTCACTCCCACCTTGCCTTACTCTTCCCCCACCCCCATTCCCTCTTACCCCCTCCCCCTCCCTCCTTACAAACCCCTTCCCCACCACATCCTCCTCATCCTCCTCCTTCTCCCCTCCATCCAGCTACTCCATTCTCAACACTGCCTTCTTCTGCAATCCAGTTCCCAGCTTACATTTCCTCTTCTCATTCCTCTGATGCCTCACCCTCCACTGCATCTACTCCTGCTTGAACCTTCTTCCCAAGATGAGCCACCCGTTGCTGCAAGGCAGCCACCTCCATAGCCACGGCGAGCGCGCGCGCGAATCTGCTCTGCGCCGACCGCAGGGTGGGATGCGCCAATCCCGCCAGGGGTAGCGGCTTCCCGTGACTCTGATCCGCCGCAGATTTCGTTCCTGGGTGACCAGGATCTTGAGGGTTTCTGAGGATGGTTGCAATTTGATGATCCCGACATGGTTCTGAAAGAACGGAATCCGTTTCGTGGCGGATCCAGCAACCAACGCAGCCTCTGCTGTTTCCGGCGCCGCCGCTGCTGCTGGTTGAGTCGCCTTTGCAAGAAAGAGCGCACGGCCACCGGATCTGAAAATCTGGACACGTGGCGCTTTCTTCTTCAACGCGAACCCTGACAAGCCTAGGATCGGCTTCTCGTTCCTCTTCATCGTCGCTGACTCCATTCGCGTCGCCTGGCGACGCCCTGTGCGCCGTCGCACACCCGACGAGATGCATCAGCCCACCGTCGCCCAGAGGCGCCGATGCGTGGCTGTAACGGGCGGCGGCCAGATCCATCCAGCCGTGCTGCAGCTGCGTGGCGAGCACTTGGCGGAGCCGCACGACGGCGTTGGTGCTATCCAACAGCTGTAACGTGGAGGACTCCATCGTCTACGAACAGTCTGTTTCGTTACGCGCAAGTGGTAACCCAAGCAACACGAATTGGAGATTTCGCGAATGTGCCAGCTTGTGGTGGAGAGGGAACAGGGATGGGTGACGGAATACTGTGGAGTTGCGCCCCTCAACGTGAATCTGTAGGGGGGAACGATCGAGAGGGAGCGGAAGGCAGGAGGCGGGAGTGCGCCTGGACCTGGACTACAGGTGATTGTGGAATGCGGGGATTCACGTGATTGACCCCCGTGTCGAACCAATGCAGCCTCTGATTGGACAGAATCTACCAGCCCGCTTCGCAGGGTAAATTGATTATGTGGACCTCTAAATAATGACGGCAAAAAAGGCTACGCAAATAAAACGCAATGGACGCTTGAGAACATGCATAGAGCACGCACATGTGTTCAAGGACGAAAGATCCATTCTTTTGTGGCTCAGGTCAGGTTTGGCTTGCGAACTCATTGGGTGAACCCAGCCAAGACCAGGGAACAGGTCAGGTAGGGTGAGAACAGATAAAATTTTGGGTTGCTCTGCATCTCGGGCAGGCGCAGGGCTCCGCCTGCCCCCACGTTTTTCCGCTCGTAAAGCGGAACGTGGGCGAAATCGCGCGCATCGGCGGAAATCGTGTTTGTCTCAAAAGAATCGACCCAAATTGCTCCCCGCTCGCCACGTGGGCGTTTTTCTCAATTGATTCGACCCCCTTTTCACCCGCCCCCCACCCCGTTTTTCCCGCCCTTGCCCTACGAAATTCGGGCACCCGCTAGGATTTCGCGAAATCACAAAACGTCACGAATACATGTTTTTTCGTAACGCTAAGATTTCAACATGCGAGCGACATCTGATTGGACAGAACACCTATGACTTCTAATGATAAATTTAGCAGTAATATGGATTTTATTAATTATGTGCCACTGCCTATTTTTTTTAATATTTGTAATATGAGTAAATATTTCCTTTTCTAAATAATATCAAGAAGTAAAATCAAACAAATTATTTACATATTTCAAAATAGATTTATGTTTTTTTGCCGTGGAGTTATTATTACTATAAATTAATGAAATTCAACTCTTAGTTTTTTATGTTTTGTGGGATACGTTTCAGGTAGATGTATAGAAAACATAAAAAAACTATAGGTTGATTTGTCATGTGTTTTTTTTTTGCGCCCCCATCTACATTACTGGCATGGGCTTAATCCAAAAAAATACGATACAATCAACGTGCATATGAGGCTCCTGAGATTGAGAAGCAACCGCCAAAATTATCGATTGCGAAAGCTGATGTGGCATGCCACAACTACACCCTCATTCTCAGTCTGTGCACAATCGCCACATGAACATGCCAGCTGTAATGACATCAATGCGTCCAACATGGTCCAAGAACATACGCTGTAAGCACATTTGCCGTACTCAGCCGTACGGAAAACTAATTGTAAGTTTACATACCGTTGTTTACCGTTCCCCGGGAGTGCGTTTGCCCGCCACCTACCTAGAGTTCGGCTCCAAGCACCAGATCGCTAGGGTCCAAGCAACAGTACGTTCTGTAGCCAGGGCTCCCAATTGTGCGTAGACTGAGAATGAGGGTGTAAATGGTGGATTTGGCTTGATGTAAAAAGCATGTATTCGTGACTTTTTGTGATTTCACGAAATTCCAGCGGGTGCCCGAATTTCGGAGGGCAAGGGCGGGAAAAACGGGGTGGGGGGGCGGGGGGAAAGGGGGTCGAATCAATTGAGAAAAACGCCCACGTGGCGAGCGGGGAGCAATTTGGGTCGATTCTTTTGAGACAAACACGATTTCCGCCGATGCGCGCGATTTCGTCCGGAACGTGGCAGCGAGCCGAGCTGAATCCCGCCCGCTCCGCCATTTGCGTTCCAGCCACACATCGTACAGCTTCCCCCGCTCCGTCCCAGGTCAATTCTCGTCACTCCGCGAAATTCCCAACACGCAGCTGGACTTCGTTCGTTCCCCTTATTCCCCTTATCTGCTCCGCATTCAACCGCCCCCTCCACCCCTTCCCCCCATTATCGCCTCTCCCTCCCTCCTCCCGCCCTACCGCGCTCTTTGCCCTCATCTGTTTCTCTCTCTCCACAGAGCTCCAGATTTCAGACTAGCTCTGCTGCTTGTTTCTAGAAAGAACCTGCTAATTATTTGCCGTCTAATCCCTCCACCAGACTTGGCGTTGATGTGCACTCTACTTCTTCGTGTTGCCTGTCAGTGCTGATGTTCTCGATTTAGCGGAAGACTATGATGCTCCCTGTTATCGTTCCTCCGCAAGGAGGCGTTCGGCTTTTGTCCGAAGTGCCTTTGTTGGATTCGCCTCGTCTCAGCCTTCTAGGCTTGCGGAATAGTCGCGGAGCGACTCAATTTCGGGCAAAGATTTCTTCTTCAGCTACTCGGGCCTCTATTCCACAAAAGGTTCAAAACTTCAATGCTTTTCCCGCTCCATGCAGCTTCTTCCGGACTCTGGTGAACGGATTTTCCATGCCATAGGCGTCAGTCTGGCGCAAATGCCTACTGTACTTGTTTTCTCCTGGGAAATTTTGGAAGTCCTGAATTTGTTTTCGCCTTGATTCCGTCCCTATCTGCCTTTCCCAGGAGCATCACTACGGGCATTTGGCAAGCGGTCAAGACCACGGACGAGCAGTACGCGGTCCGGCCGTTGTAAACCGCGAGAATGACATCGACAACGGCTCATTCGATACCGGGTTTCTCGATAACAGTGACCCCCGCAAGAGCAGCGGTGCATCTCATCGGGGGAAGATAACGGTTTCGGTGCGAATCCACTCCGTGTCGGCCGGAGAAACCGTTTCTTCTATCGCATCCAGCTACTCCATTCCGGTGGACGCTCTTCTCGCGGCTAACGGCAAATCCTCGCCGAGCATTCGCGTCGGCGAGGTGCTTTATCTCCCGTCGCCCTCCGCACGAAAGGAGACGAAGGTTCTGTCGCAGGAAGCGAAGAATGCTCCGGTCGCCTCACCTTCCGTCGCATCGTCGCAGTCGCAGGCACAATCATCGTGGCAGTCGCAGGCGTCGCTGTCAGGGCGTTCCCAACACGTGTCTCTGCACATTCGAGAGAACCATGGCACGAGCTCCAGACAGTCCGCCTTCCCAACCTATTCCGACGAATGCGTTCGTTTGTGCACGGACAGCAGCGGTACCATGACTAACGGAACATCCATTTCCACTAGGACCTGCAGCAGCGGGAGCGGCAGCAGCGGCTTCAGTGACACAAGGGGGCCTAGCGCGGCTGCTGCTGCAGCTTCCGCGGGACGTGTGTGCATCACTAGCTGCCGGGAAGCTCCCACTGGCAGGACAACGGGAATGAGGATGCGGGTGAGGGGATGGCTAAAGAACTCCTCCGGAGCTGTCAGTGCGAGTCCTGATACTCGCGTAAATGTGTCGCCCGCTGCTCCTTGTGAGGGGGTCTCGCCTGCTCTGCTGGTAACATCCACCCCTGCTGCTCCTGCTGCTCCTGCTGCTGTTATTGCTGATGACTCTGCCGGTGCTTCCACTGCTGCCGACGCGCCTCATGCTCACTCCCATGCTGCATCTGTCGCTGACACTCCCTCTCCCACGTCTGCTGCTGCTGAGTACGAAAGTCGGCGTTTCTCCGACGAGCTGAGCGGGTTTGCAAACTTCTTCGCTGCAAGAAAGCATCTTGACGGATGGAGAAAAGGCCCTGGGGAAGGCCGTGTAGGTTCCCACGTTGGGAGTGACGGTTCAAGACAGGGTGTAGTGGCGTCCGTATCGCAGGCGTTGGTTCCTGTAAGAGGGGTTGAGGTGCAGCAATCGCTGCCGTTGATTGGACTCGGATTTGCTATCACTCTCACTGCGGGAGCTGTTGCTGTTCGCTCGGGATTGCATGGCCTGGTTCGTGCGGCCTTGCTGTTGCGGCTGCAGGGCTTTTCGCAGCGGCAACGCGACCAGAGACAGCTGCAGCAGGAGCGGGAGAAGGAGCAGCAGGGGGAGGGTTGTGAGCAGAAGGCGGAATCGAACGAGCAGCAGTCACTTCAGCGTGTGAGGGACGATAAGCGGCTTGAGTTTTCAAAGAGGGCTCTCAGGAACTATCTAGACCTGCAGAAACGCGAGGTCAAACGGTCTGGCATGGAGGGAGCTGCTTTGCGGCTCAAGATGAGAATGGCCAAGGCGAACGGGAAGGATCCTCTACCATTCGCCCCGTTACAGGATAAGATGGGCCCGCGTCGAAACGTGATGGCTGAGATTCGAAGCGTTGTGGCCGAGGCGGTGGCTGAGGTGGTAGAAGGAGAGGAATGCACGGTGGTACTTGAGAGGACCAAGGCATTGGTGAAGGACAGAGAGACCACAGGGGAGGCAAGAGTAGTGGAAAAGGGGGTTGCTGATGGGAGCAGTACTGGTGTAGGGGCAGAGGAGGCGAGCAGAATGATTGCGATGATGGAAAAGGGGTGGTATGGTGGAGCTGGTGAAACAGAAATGAAAGGAATGATGGGCTTGGAAGGGGATGAGGACGGGGTAGGAGAGGTGGGGCCAGAGGTTTTTCTGGAGTGGAGTGTGGAGAAGGCCAGAGAGGCCAATGCACATGCAATGGGGTATACCAAAGAAAGGAGTTAAGAATGCTGCAGTTTGCGGCTGAACAGGAGGGACAGCTTACAGGGCTCCTGGATGACGATGACAGAACTGACAGCACAGGGCCTGTATTTATACTGAGTGCAACTGACTTGCATTGACAGTAACATTCCGATCTTATACCGTTGTTGGTGTGATATCCACACACCACTCTGGCTAGGATGAGGTATGTCTCCCATCATTATGAATTATTATTATTCTGTTGGGAACTGAGTGCATTTGCATGACCTAGAAAATGTGTTGCTAGCAATGTTATTATTTTGGAAGTGGTTTTTTTGTTTTTTTTTTTTTCAAAACTGCAAACTTGATTTATCTGCACCCTACTGTGTACTAAGTTCGTGGGTTATGTACAGACCATCCCCAGGCAAACACTCAAAACGGGGATGTCCGTCCCCGCCGCCGGAATGGTTGATGTTAGAGCAGAAGGCAATTTTTGAAACCAGAGCCTGACACAAATGAGATGGATGTTGATGGCGGCTCGAGCCATCCATCCGTAGCATCACCTGATTGGTGCGAACAGACCATACCATCCACAACATGCTTTGCCAAAACAGCCAGCCTCTCCGCCATGCTTTGCATTCTGGTCAAGGCATTGTAACACTTCTCGCTTTCAATCTGATGTTTCGCACATGGCTACCCTTTCCCGCAAACGGTCGCACAGCGCGCGCAGCTCAACACTGTTTCCGACGGCGCGCGCTCCAGCGGAACACTGTTCCCGCTTTCCGTCACTTTTATTGGCCGAATGTTTCCCGCTTCCCGCCTGTCAGCGGAGCCTGCCCATTCACTTCGCTACGGCGTCCCCCTCGGCTTGCAGTGGCTTCGCATGGGGTGGGGAGTGACTCTGCTCGTCGCTGCCTTCGCTATCCCTTTCGCTGTCTCTCGTCCATCCCATCAGAGAACCCTTCTGAAATCATCTCAATTTCTCCCAACCCACCCCTAATCCTCCGACCTCCCTTCATTTCCTTCCCCTTCCCTCTCTGCCTTACCAATTTGCCATCCCCTCACCTTGTCCTCCATGAGCCTCAGACGAGTTCCTCGACATTTCCTAGGCAGCGTAATCTTCTGTTGTGGCTCAAGTTAGTCTCGGTAACTCGGTTTCTCCGAGTCCATGGCTTCCTCCGCTGTGACTACAGCCTTATTCATGGCTTCCGCCGTAGTGACTATAGGCTAATTCGCACTCTCGTTGATGGTAACTAAAAACAAAAAATTAGTCGGAATACAGATTGGTTAACGTTCAGGATTCCGATCGCTCGGCTCTCCAAGCAGACCATCAGCCTGATGATTCAACCCTCAAGAGTTACGACGGTCGTTCGGTCGTTACCGTCAGACTTACAACATCGGACCGTCCGCAGATTAGATTCGTTAGATTAAGAATATCGGTGGATCTCCTCCAAGCATCAGCTCCTAATGTTCGTTGAATCCATATGCTCGCTCGACTGACATTTCAGTTCATCAAATCTTACTACTGAGCGTCACGCTCTTCTTTGAGTCGAACGCGCATCAGCTCTTTCGTCAGATCTTCAACCTGAAGGTTCCTTCCTACGCTCGTGTCGCCGGTCGTGCCTACGAAGCGTTACAGCAGTTGATTTGGAATCTGAATAGATACTTCTTGCGGATTCTACATCGACACTTCTTCCTACGACGACGCCGTCGGTCATGCGTCTTCCTCGCGAAGTTACGACGGATAATGAGGAGCTTCTTTTCGGTTAGCATCATCGGAGTCCGAATCTTCGCAGCATCCATTGTCGACGCAGCAAGCATCAGTTGATCTCACAACATCCATGGCCGCCTGCAATACTACCGACGCTTGCGACGTTGAAGCTAACAAGGACGAAGCACGGCGCATACCGCGCGAAGACTCTTCGGACGTCCGACAATGACGAATAAGCTACTTACGGAAAAGCTCGCGAAGGCGCGAAGGAGGACCTCGCGACGTTACCACGGAACAACGCTTCTTCGTGAAATCGAGTATGGAAGAGTCCGAGAACTTCGCGGATGGAGGGCGGAGGGCGGAGGAGCTCGCGACGCTGGTTCTACAGAGAAGCTTCGCGGTTTGATGGAGGAGCTCGCGTCGCGCCGCGTGAATTGGACGACGGAGGAAGAGCAGACCTCGCTCGGAGTGCGCGACGGTGAACGGAGGAGATCGCGACCCTAACGGAGGAGATCGCGACCCTAACGGAGGAGATCGCGACCCTAACGGTGAAGATCGCGACCGTGACGGAGGAAAACGCGACCCTAACGGAGAAGCTCGCGACCCTAATGGAGAAGCTCGCGACCCTAAACCGCGACGCGGAATGGCGGAACTCCCGACGCGGAATGGCGGAACTCGCGATGCTGAATGGCGGGACTCGCGACGCTGAATGGCGGAACTCGCGACGCTAAATGGCGGAACTCGCGATGCTGAATGGCGGAACTCGCGATGCTGAATGGCGGAACTCGCGATGCTGAATGGCGGAACTCGCGATGCTGAATGGCGGAACTCGCGATGCTGAATGGCGGAACTCGCGATGCTGGATGGCGGAACTCGCGATGCTGAATGGCGGAACTCGCGATGCTGAATGGCGGAACTCGCCGACGCTAACTCGATCGCGAACACGGACACGGAAACAGCTATACCGTGTCGCGGACCCTCGGTGTCAAGGAGCTCGCGGACACGGCCGAGCCGTTTTCGGCGACGCTTATGGTGAGTTCCATCCAGCACCCAGTCTCTAGGTTAAACGTTTTCTGAATGTATCTTTCTCCAGTCGCTATATCAGAATCGCTTCCGTTGCTTCTATCTGGACATCTCCGTTCCCTAGCTAGCGTATCTCACGCGCTGCGATCCGCTCTGTCTGTCCTGGTCCATGCAGGAGCTGATTCCTGGTTTGCCGCTAATGGAGAAGATCGTGACGCTGAATTGCGGAGGTCGCATCGCTGTATGGCGGAGAGCGCATCAACGTTTGAGCCGTTTCCGTCTGACGCTGGTGGTGAGTTTTCATCCAACGCCCGTTTCCTGGCTGTATCTTTCTCCTGTTGCTACTTCAGATTCCTTTTTGTTGCTAGATTCAGTTCAGTTCTCATCTCAGATTCGCTTCCGTTGCTCCTATCTGGACTATTCAGTTCCCTAGCTAGAGTATCTCACGTGCTGCGATCTGTTCTGTCTGTACTGGTCCGTGCAGGAGTTGGTCTGCCGCTGAATTGCTGAGGACGCGTCACAAGTAGAACATCGATCCTGCCTAGAATCGGTGTTTAGGTGGTTACACATTTTCGTTTATTTTCGCTAACGTACAGTTTTCCCTTCTAAGTCAGGCGATCGATGTGCCCCTGTCACACATCGATCGTGCAATTTCGTCCACATCGGGCAATTTTGCCCCATGTTTTTACGATCGTGTCACTTGAAACTTCAAAGCAGTCGTGACACACCGATATGGCGATCGGTTTGACAGGTTCGGTGAACAACCCTGATCCTTCCTCGATATTTTACTTGTGACGCGTCCTGAGGTCGCATTGCTGATTGGCGGTGGAGAGCGCATCGCTGAACGGAGGAGAGCGCATCATTGAATGGCGGAGAGCGCATCACTGAACGGAGGAGAGCGCATCACTGAACGGTGGAGATTGCGACGCTGAACGGGTAAGTTTTTTCTCTTGATTGATCCCTTCCTTGTTCCGTCCCTTACTCGAAGCCTTATTCCTCCTTTACTCTGTCTAGCCTTAGTTCTGCTTCCGTTGTTCATGTTTCCCTTTGCTCTGTCGAGCCTTTGTTCTGCTTCCGTTGTTCCTGATTTCCTTTACTTCATCTGCTTGATGATGCTTTTCACAATTCTGTTTTTCTTACTGTATTTGCCTTGCCCTGTGTGGTTTGTCCGAGCAGAATGTGGGGGCGGGGAGAGGAGAGGAGTGAATAGAGGAGCAGCAGAGGTGGCAGCAGAGGAGAGGACTCAATGGAGGAGCGATCACAGGCTGATCCTGGCGCATTGGTGCATTGGAGCATCAAGGCATGGCATCTCGTGGAGCGACCACGGGCTGCTGGAGTGCTGCTGGCTGATCCTGGCGCTGCTGGAGTGCTGCTGGCTGATCCTGGCGCTGCTGGAGTGCTGCTGGCTGATCCTGGCGCTGCTGGAGTGCTGCTGGCTGATCCTGGCGCTGCTGGAGTGCTGCTGGCTGCTGAACTGCACCTGGCGCTGCTGAGGTGGACAGGCGCAGTGGGATAACCACTGGCGTGTGGCTGCCTCTACCCGCCCTGCTGACCACCCGCTCGTGGAGCAGCAAGGCAACACTGCCATCTCGTGGCCAGCAAAGCAACTGGGAAGTGCCTTTCCCCTCGCCTTCCCATCCCGTCATTCGTTTCGTTTCGTCATTCGTTTTCCGCACCTCGTTCTTCACTCCATCGTTCTTCGCGTTTATGCACGTCCCTCTGATACGCTCGGCTGCAGCCTAGTAGATGATCCTCCGCGGGTTTTGGGTAGCATAGCTCCTCCCTCTGCTAGCTGCAGCCGGCGTATCATGGACGTGCATCCATCCCACCACCTCACCTCGTTTCCGCGTGTTGTTCTCCGCTCTCAATTCGCGCACTTCGTTTCCACATTCGTTTCCTTGTGTTTGTATTGCTTTCTTTTCCATTACGCAGTTCTGGTTTCTAGACTTTGTGCACCTGTCTGTGTGTTCCCTTCCCCTCTTTTTCAGCAATCATGGGTTCTTCACTGCAGATCGGTTCTTCACTCAAGGATGCGCCGAGCAGAGGAGAAGAGGAGCCTGCAGAGAACGGCAGTATTGACTCGGGAGGACGGCAGCAGTTAGAGGGAGAAGTGAGCGGTGGGATGACGCACGGCCGGCAGCCACACGGCTGCCTCCTACCCGCCCTGCTGACCACCCGCTCTGCTCGAGGCTCAAGACACTTCAGACACTTCGGGCAGCGAGCCAGCGCGGAGGCAAGGCAGCGGCACTTCAGCAGAGGTGTAGTGCGGTGTGGAATGGTATGGTGCGGCATGAGAAGAAGGTGGTCACTTCCAGCAACGAGACGGCGCGAAGGCAAGGCGGCGGCACTTCAGCAGAGGTGTGTGTTCTGTGGCACTTGAGGTGAGGAGGCAAGGAGAGGTGTGGCACTTCACTCAAGATGGCTTCTTCACTAAGCCTGGCTTCTTCACTCAAGAACGGAGGCGCCTGCAGAGGAGCAGGTGTAGTGCTGTGTGGTATGCTGTGATCTGGTTTCGTGTTGTGTGGTGGAGCAAGGGCGAGCGTGGTGGGATGACGCACGGCCGGCAGCCACTGGCGTGTGGCTGCCTCCTACTCGCCCTGCTGACCACCCGCTCAAGGCAAGGAGGACACGTGGGACAAGGAGGTAAGCACGCGACTCTTGGGGATCGAGGCAAGAAGGACACTTGGGGAATGGTGGAGGAGGCAACCAGGCGGCACTTCAGGTGAGGGGACGAGGTGGCAAGGAGGCGGCACTTGAGACGAGCAGGCAGCACGTCCGGCAAGGGGTGAGGCGGAGGAACGTGAGGGAGTGGTTGATGGGTTGGACGAGTGGATGCATGGAGGGGGATGCTGTGGAAAGTGGAACAGAGAGTAGCGGTGGGACGTGTTGAGGCGGAGAGGGTGGTGCCACTGTCTCTCGTAAGTCCTCCTCACGGCTGGCCCCGCTCATCGCTGCTCCTCGTCTTCTTTCTTCAGCACCGCCCTCCCTGCACCTTCTCTTCCAGCTTTGACGCCCAACCCGACCTGCACTCTGTCCTCATCCCCTTCCCACCGTCGAGGAGGGCGCACGGGGAGTCTACAGCGTCACATTCGGCACGGGGTGAGGTGGAGGAACGTGAGGGAGTGGTTGATGGGTTGGACGAGTGGATGCATGGAGGGGGATGCTGTGGAAAGTGGAACGGAGAGTAGCGGTGGGACGTGTTGAGGCGGAGAGGGTGGTGCCACTGTCTCTCGTAAGTCCTCCTCACGGCTGGCCCCGCTCATCGCTGCTCCTCGTCTTCTTTCTTCAGCACCGCCCTCCCTGCACCTTCTCTTCCAGCTTTGACGCCCAACCCGACCTGCACTCTGTCCTCATCCCCTTCCCACCGTCGAGGAGGGCGCACGGGGAGTCTACAGCGTCACGTTCGGCACGGGGTGAGGCGGAGGAACGTGAGGGAGTGGTTGATGGGTTGGACGAGTGGATGCATGGAGGGGGATGCTGTGGAAAGTGGAACGGAGAGTAGCGGTGGGACGTGTTGAGGCGGAGAGGGTGGTGCCACTGTCTCTCGTAAGTCCTCCTCATGGCTGGCCCCGCTCATCGCTGCTCCTCGTCTTCTTTCTTCAGCACCGCCCTCCCTGCACCTTCTCTTCCAGCTTTGACGCCCAACCCGACCTGCACTCTGTCCTCATCCCCTTCCCACCGTCGAGGAGGGCGCACGGGGAGTCTACAGCGTCACGTTCGGCACGGGGTGAGGCGGAGGAACGTGAGGGAGTGGTTGATGGGTTGGACGAGTGGATGCATGGAGGGGGATGCTGTGGAAAGTGGAACGGAGAGTAGCGGTGGGACGTGTTGAGGCGGAGAGGGTGGTGCCACTGTCTCTCGTAAGTCCTCCTCACGGCTGGCCCCGCTCATCGCTGCTCCTCGTCTTCTTTCTTCAGCACCGCCCTCCCTGCACCTTCTCTTCCAGCTTTGACGCCCAACCCGACCTGCACTCTGTCCTCATACCCTTCCCACCGTCGAGGAGGGCGCACGGGGAGGCTACAGCGTCACGTTCGGCATGGGGTGAGGCGGAGGAACGTGAGGGAGTGGTTGATGGGTTGGACGAGTGGATGCATGGAGGGGGATGCTGTGGAAAGTGGAACGGAGAGTAGCGGTGGGACGTGTTGAGGCGGAGAGGGTGGTGCCACTGTCTCTCGTAATTCCTCCTCACGGCTGGCCCCGCTCATCGCTGCTCCTCGTCTTCTTTCTTCAGCACCGCCCTCCCTGCACCTTCTCTTCCAGCTTTGACGCCCAACCCGACCTGCACTCTGTCCTCATCCCCTTCCCACCGTCGAGGAGGGCGCACGGGGAGTCTACAGCGTCATCGACTGTAGTCTCTGGTTTTGGTGTGGAGTGGTGTGGAGTGGTGTGGTGTGTTGTGCATTTGAGGCGGCACTTCAGGTGAGCATTCGAGGAGGCGGCACCGACTTACATCACCGACATGTAAGTCTCTGCTTTGGCAGGTCGGCGGGGGAGCAGCAGCTTGGAGGGTCAACACCGTCACCGACATGTGAGTCTCTGCTTTGGCAGGTCAGCGGGGGAGCAGCAGCATGGAGGGTCAACACCGTCACCGACATGTAAGTTTCGTTTCCAGTTTTTTGCATCTTCGTTCTTTGTTGTTCTTTGTTTCTTTTTCCAGTTTTTTATGTGCTAATGTCGTCTTGTGTTTCTGGTTTTGTTTAGCCAGGGAGCAGTGGCAGGAGCGGAGCGGAGCAGAAGAGGAGGAACAGGAGCAGCCGCTTCTGCTCTTCTTTTGTAAGCCACTTTTCTCGCCTTGATTTTTGTTGTTTTGTTTTTGTATGCATTGAATTGTTTCAGCCATGTGTGATATCTTGGCAGTAGGTCCGCTAGTGCATTTCTAGGCTAAGTTTTTGTGACTCTGTGTCTTCCCGTTTCACAGAGGAGATGCAGCAGAGGCGAGGAGGGGGAGAGGAGAGGAGGGGAAGAGGGGAGGAGGAACAGGAGCAGCCGCTTCTGCTCTTCTCTTGTAAGCCACTTTTTTCGCTTAAGTTTTTGTCGCATTGTTTTTGTATGCATTGAATCGTTTCAGCCATGTGTGATCTCTTGGCAGTAGGTCCGCTAGTGCATTTCTAGGCTGACTTTTTGTGACTCTGTGTCTTCCCGTTTCACAGAGGAGAAGTAGCAGAGGCGAGGAGGGGGAGAGGAGAGGAGGGGAAGAGGGGAGGAGGAACAGGAGCAGCCGCTTCTGCGCATCTCTTGTAAGCCTCTTTTCTCGCCTTGATTTTTGTTGCATTGTTTTTGTATGCATTGAATCGTTTCAGCCATGTGTGATACCTTGGCAGTAGGTCCGCTAGTGCATTTCTAGGCTGAGTTTTTGTGACTCTGTGTCTTCCCGTTTCACAGAGGAGAAGCAGCAGAGGCGAGGAGGGGTAGAGGAGAGGAGGGGAACAGGGGAGGAGGAACAGGAGCAGCCGCTTCTGCTCTTCTCTTGTAAGCCTTTTTTCTCACCTTGATTTTTGTTGCATGCTTCTGTATGCATTGAATCTTTTCATCCATGTGTGATATATTGGCAGTAGGTCCGCTAGTGCATTTCTAGGCTCAGTTTTTGTGACTCTGTGTCTTTCCGTTTCACAGAGGAGAAGCAGCAGAGGCGAGGATGGGTAGAGGAGAGGAGGGGTAGAGGAGAGGAGGAACAGGCGCGGCCGCTTCTGCTCGTCTCTTGTAAGCGCCTTATCTCGCCTTGATTTTTTTGCATTGTCTTTGTATGCATTGAATCTTTTCAGCCATGTGTGATCTCTTGGCAGTAGGTCCGCTAGTGCATTTCTAGGCTGACTTTTTGTGACTCTGTGTCTTCCCGTTTCACAGAGGAGATGAAGTAGAGGCGAGGAGGGGCAGAGGAGAGGAGGGAAAGAGGGGAGGAGGAACAGGAGCAGCCGCTTCTGCTCGTCTCTTGTAAGTCTCTTTTCTCGCTTTGACGTTTTTTGACTTGTTTCTGTATGCAGTGAATATTTTCATCCATGTGTGATATATTGGCAGTAGGTCCGCTAGTGCATTTCTAGGCTCAGTTTTTGTGACTCTGTGTCTTTCCGTTTCACAGGTGGAGATGCAGCAGAGGCGAGAAGGGGCAGAGGAGCGGAGGGGCAGAGGGGCAGACGGTAAGCCTCTTTTCTAGCCTTGCTTTATCGCCTTGCTTTTCTCCCCAACTGCTCCATGCCTTATTTTCTCAAGAGACTCACTGCTGTTTTATCCTTCCCATCTTTTTACAGGAAGACCGAAGATCGAAGACCGAAGACTGAAGACCGAAGACTGAAGACCGAAGACTGAAGACCGAAGACTAAAGACCGAAGACTGAAGACCGAAGACTGAAGACCGAAGACTGAAGACCTCCCCCCCTTTCCCCCCCCCCTCCCCTCCTCTCCCCTCTTCTCGCCTCTTCTCCCCTCCCCTCCCCTCCCCTCCCCTCCCCTCCCCCAGGAGCAGGTTTATGCACAACATGCGTGGGGAGCACTGAAGTGAAGACCCCCAACTGTGGCATCAGGTGGTGTGCGGCAGGGGCTGCTAAGGGCGTTAGGGCTGGCCCCCTTAACGTCCGAAGCACCCCTGTGCGTGGGTGCTCTGATGATGGATGGCGGGACGCTGCCTGAAGTCGGATGAGCCTCACCCCGCCTCCACCTGGGCCAGGCTCTGCCTGGTTTGAGCGGGGGCTTGTGGGACGCTGCATGCCCTCTGCTCGTGCCACTGCGGGGCTGCGGAGTGGAGGGGGACTGCATGGCACGCCAGCAACGGTCGTCGTGGTGGTGCGTGTCGTAAAGGTAGGTGCTTTCCGCGCTTTCCTTGCATGTAATTCTTTGCTGTTTCCTTGTTTTTGTTGCTTGTTTTTCTTCGCTGTTTCCTGGTTCGTTGCTTGTTTTTCTAGCTGTTTTGTTGCTTGTTGCTTGTTCTTTCTTCGCTGGTTCCTTGCTTGTTTCCTTGTTTGTTGCTGTGCTTGCTTCCTTGCTTGCTGTGTGCTACTAACCCCCCGTGGTCCCCATGCAGGTCCCACACGAAGGGTCCCCACCTCAACGTGGTGTGTGGGTGAACACTAGGGGTTAACCCCCCTAGTGGCCAAGAGGGGCCCACAAGACCCAAGAGAAGACCATGGCGCGCTTTATGATTGCAGTAATGATTGTAGATTTGTATGATTGTCTGACTAGTGATAAATCTGCTATGGATCAAACAAATACGTCTCAGCATGAGCTGATGAATAAAATAATTCATGTATGCACCAGGATATCCAATACAACTTTCGGCCTATCATTGCATGCAGCCAATAACATCCATCAGAGACAAAATGGGACATTGCATCTTCTGTTGCTACTCCTGGCAATACTGTGTGCTGCTGAGGAAGTCCGTACCAACACGGCAACAGCATGCTGAAGTGTGAAGGACTGCTCTCTGTTGTGAGCCGTGCTTCTGCTTTCTCAGGCTGAGTGAATCAGCATCCACCTTGACTGTAAGCAATCATCTAAAGTCTCTACCTCTTAACACAAAGGGAGCAATGAGCGTCCACAGATAAACCAGAGCAGATAACCACAGCAAAGCCATCTTGACCCAAGTGCTAATCCAACCAGCATCGATGCTCCACTCAACCGGGGTTTGATTCATATTCCACCCCAGTAATATCATAGCCATGTACATTGAACCGGTAAGGAACACGAGATGGAAGAAGCCGTAACCGTAGGGCACCTCTCCGTTACCGGCGGATTCCTCGTCTTTAGGCCGGAGCGAGAAGCAACGAGAGTCGATGCCAGTGGCATAGACTGAGATGGCAATGCTGACGAGCGCCACTATGAATGCCTGAGTGGCACAAACGGGATGGGAAGAGAATGGAGAATGAAAGACAAGTAGCAGCTTGTGGGTTGTGAAAGATGCTCGGTTGGGGGCTGGATGGTTGCACGGCATTCAATGAAGCATGAATACGAAGCGTACAGCAGTGGTAGATAATACAAGCTGGGGGTGTTCTTATCTCACCAGAATATCAAGCCACCCGCCGTATCCGGTCTGGCGAGGCCGAGTGTTGCACGCCTCGGCGGGCGGCTCACTCATGATCGCTGACCAGCAGAGGAAGACAAAATAGACCGCCATGACACCTGTGGTGAGAGGGCCTGCGTCCACCTGCATACACACATACAGATGAAGATGCATACAAGTGAGATAGGAGGTTGCCAGGTGACTTAGGTCGAAATCCTTACAGTGTCGGGGCTATGTAGCACCAGGCAAGAATACACCGGGTTGGATAGAGATGGCGAGAACCGTGAAAAAAAAAAAGATGAGAAGGTGAGCCACGGACTTATTAGGAGTGCTCACTTTGGGACGGGCGGCTCACCTTGGGATGGACGGCTCACCTTGGGATGGACGGCTCACCTTGGGATGGACGGCTCACCTTGGGATGGACGGCTCACCTTGGGATGGACGGCTCACCTTGGGATGGACGGCTCACCTTGGGATGGACGGCTCACCTTGGGATGGACGGCTCACCTTGGGATGGACGGCTCACCTTGGGATGGACGGCTCACCTTGGGATGGACGGCTCACCTTGGGATGGACGGCTCACCTTGGGATGGACGGCTCACCTTGGGATGGACGGCTCACCTTGGGATGGACGGCTCACCTTGGGATGGACGGCTCACCTTGGGATGGACGGCTCACCTTGGGATGGACGGCTCACCTTGGGATGGACGGCTCACCTTGGGATGGACGGCTCACCTTGGGATGGACGGCTCACCTTGGGATGGACGGCTCACCTTGGGATGGACGGCTCACCTTGGGATGGACGGCTCACCTTGGGATGGACGGCTCACCTTGGGATGGACGGCTCACCTTGGGATGGACGGCTCACCTTGGGATGGACGGCTCACCTTGGGATGGACGGCTCACCTTGGGATGGACGGCTCACCTTGGGATGGACGGCTCACCTTGGGATGGACGGCTCACCTTGGGATGGACGGCTCACCTTGGGATGGACGGCTCACCTTGGGATGGACGGCTCACCTTGGGATGGACGGCTCACCTTGGGATGGACGGCTCACCTTGGGATGGACGGCTCACCTTGGGATGGACGGCTCACCTTGGGATGGACGGCTCACCTTGGGATGGACGGCTCACCTTGGGATGGACGGCTCACCTTGGGATGGACGGCTCACCTTGGGATGGACGGCTCACCTTGGGATGGACGGCTCACCTTGGGATGGACGGCTCACCTTGGGATGGACGGCTCACCTTGGGATGGACGGCTCACCTTGGGATGGACGGCTCACCTTGGGATGGACGGCTCACCTTGGGATGGACGGCTCACCTTGGGATGGACGGCTCACCTTGGGATGGACGGCTCACCTTGGGATGGACGGCTCACCTTGGGATGGACGGCTCACCTTGGGATGGACGGCTCACCTTGGGATGGACGGCTCACCTTGGGATGGACGGCTCACCTTGGGATGGACGGCTCACCTTGGGATGGACGGCTCACCTTGGGATGGACGGCTCACCTTGGGATGGACGGCTCACCTTGGGATGGACGGCTCACCTTGGGATGGACGGCTCACCTTGGGATGGACGGCTCACCTTGGGATGGACGGCTCACCTTGGGATGGACGGCTCACCTTGGGATGGACGGCTCACCTTGGGATGGACGGCTCACCTTGGGATGGACGGCTCACCTTGGGATGGACGGCTCACCTTGGGATGGACGGCTCACCTTGGGATGGACGGCTCACCTTGGGATGGACGGCTCACCTTGGGATGGACGGCTCACCTTGGGATGGACGGCTCACCTTGGGATGGACGGCTCACCTTGGGATGGACGGCTCACCTTGGGATGGACGGCTCACCTTGGGATGGACGGCTCACCTTGGGATGGACGGCTCACCTTGGGATGGACGGCTCACCTTGGGATGGACGGCTCACCTTGGGATGGACGGCTCACCTTGGGATGGACGGCTCACCTTGGGATGGACGGCTCACCTTGGGATGGACGGCTCACCTTGGGATGGACGGCTCACCTTGGGATGGACGGCTCACCTTGGGATGGACGGCTCACCTTGGGATGGACGGCTCACCTTGGGATGGACGGCTCACCTTGGGATGGACGGCTCACCTTGGGATGGACGGCTCACCTTGGGATGGACGGCTCACCTTGGGATGGACGGCTCACCTTGGGATGGACGGCTCACCTTGGGATGGACGGCTCACCTTGGGATGGACGGCTCACCTTGGGATGGACGGCTCACCTTGGGATGGACGGCTCACCTTGGGATGGACGGCTCACCTTGGGATGGACGGCTCACCTTGGGATGGACGGCTCACCTTGGGATGGACGGCTCACCTTGGGATGGACGGCTCACCTTGGGATGGACGGCTCACCTTGGGATGGACGGCTCACCTTGGGATGGACGGCTCACCTTGGGATGGACGGCTCACCTTGGGATGGACGGCTCACCTTGGGATGGACGGCTCACCTTGGGATGGACGGCTCACCTTGGGATGGACGGCTCACCTTGGGATGGACGGCTCACCTTGGGATGGACGGCTCACCTTGGGATGGACGGCTCACCTTGGGATGGACGGCTCACCTTGGGATGGACGGCTCACCTTGGGATGGACGGCTCACCTTGGGATGGACGGCTCACCTTGGGATGGACGGCTCACCTTGGGATGGACGGCTCACCTTGGGATGGACGGCTCACCTTGGGATGGACGGCTCACCTTGGGATGGACGGCTCACCTTGGGATGGACGGCTCACCTTGGGATGGACGGCTCACCTTGGGATGGACGGCTCACCTTGGGATGGACGGCTCACCTTGGGATGGACGGCTCACCTTGGGATGGACGGCTCACCTTGGGATGGACGGCTCACCTTGGGATGGACGGCTCACCTTGGGATGGACGGCTCACCTTGGGATGGACGGCTCACCTTGGGATGGACGGCTCACCTTGGGATGGACGGCTCACCTTGGGATGGACGGCTCACCTTGGGATGGACGGCTCACCTTGGGATGGACGGCTCACCTTGGGATGGACGGCTCACCTTGGGATGGACGGCTCACCTTGGGATGGACGGCTCACCTTGGGATGGACGGCTCACCTTGGGATGGACGGCTCACCTTGGGATGGACGGCTCACCTTGGGATGGACGGCTCACCTTGGGATGGACGGCTCACCTTGGGATGGACGGCTCACCTTGGGATGGACGGCTCACCTTGGGATGGACGGCTCACCTTGGGATGGACGGCTCACCTTGGGATGGACGGCTCACCTTGGGATGGACGGCTCACCTTGGGATGGACGGCTCACCTTGGGATGGACGGCTCACCTTGGGATGGACGGCTCACCTTGGGATGGACGGCTCACCTTGGGATGGACGGCTCACCTTGGGATGGACGGCTCACCTTGGGATGGACGGCTCACCTTGGGATGGACGGCTCACCTTGGGATGGACGGCTCACCTTGGGATGGACGGCTCACCTTGGGATGGACGGCTCACCTTGGGATGGACGGCTCACCTTGGGATGGACGGCTCACCTTGGGATGGACGGCTCACCTTGGGATGGACGGCTCACCTTGGGATGGACGGCTCACCTTGGGATGGACGGCTCACCTTGGGATGGACGGCTCACCTTGGGATGGACGGCTCACCTTGGGATGGACGGCTCACCTTGGGATGGACGGCTCACCTTGGGATGGACGGCTCACCTTGGGATGGACGGCTCACCTTGGGATGGACGGCTCACCTTGGGATGGACGGCTCACCTTGGGATGGACGGCTCACCTTGGGATGGACGGCTCACCTTGGGATGGACGGCTCACCTTGGGATGGACGGCTCACCTTGGGATGGACGGCTCACCTTGGGATGGACGGCTCACCTTGGGATGGACGGCTCACCTTGGGATGGACGGCTCACCTTGGGATGGACGGCTCACCTTGGGATGGACGGCTCACCTTGGGATGGACGGCTCACCTTGGGATGGACGGCTCACCTTGGGATGGACGGCTCACCTTGGGATGGACGGCTCACCTTGGGATGGACGGCTCACCTTGGGATGGACGGCTCACCTTGGGATGGACGGCTCACCTTGGGATGGACGGCTCACCTTGGGATGGACGGCTCACCTTGGGATGGACGGCTCACCTTGGGATGGACGGCTCACCTTGGGATGGACGGCTCACCTTGGGATGGACGGCTCACCTTGGGATGGACGGCTCACCTTGGGATGGACGGCTCACCTTGGGATGGACGGCTCACCTTGGGATGGACGGCTCACCTTGGGATGGACGGCTCACCTTGGGATGGACGGCTCACCTTGGGATGGACGGCTCACCTTGGGATGGACGGCTCACCTTGGGATGGACGGCTCACCTTGGGATGGACGGCTCACCTTGGGATGGACGGCTCACCTTGGGATGGACGGCTCACCTTGGGATGGACGGCTCACCTTGGGATGGACGGCTCACCTTGGGATGGACGGCTCACCTTGGGATGGACGGCTCACCTTGGGATGGACGGCTCACCTTGGGATGGACGGCTCACCTTGGGATGGACGGCTCACCTTGGGATGGACGGCTCACCTTGGGATGGACGGCTCACCTTGGGATGGACGGCTCACCTTGGGATGGACGGCTCACCTTGGGATGGACGGCTCACCTTGGGATGGACGGCTCACCTTGGGATGGACGGCTCACCTTGGGATGGACGGCTCACCTTGGGATGGACGGCTCACCTTGGGATGGACGGCTCACCTTGGGATGGACGGCTCACCTTGGGATGGACGGCTCACCTTGGGATGGACGGCTCACCTTGGGATGGACGGCTCACCTTGGGATGGACGGCTCACCTTGGGATGGACGGCTCACCTTGGGATGGACGGCTCACCTTGGGATGGACGGCTCACCTTGGGATGGACGGCTCACCTTGGGATGGACGGCTCACCTTGGGATGGACGGCTCACCTTGGGATGGACGGCTCACCTTGGGATGGACGGCTCACCTTGGGATGGACGGCTCACCTTGGGATGGACGGCGATGGCGGTGAGCGCGACGACGAGGACGAGGAGGAAGGTGATGAAGAAGATGTTGAGTGAGCAGGAGGAGGAGGGCACAAAGTAGATATACATGAGGATGATGCCTGTGAGGAAGAGCAGGTAGCACATGACTGACACCACCGCCATCCATTTGTGCCTGCACACGCACATGCCATGACATGCATGCACGCCTGAGTGGGTGATACTTTTACTTTTACGCATGTATGCATACACATACTTTTCTGTGCATATCTGTGCATCTACAAGACAAATGATGAGTGAACATTCACCAGCATCGAAGCGTTTGGAACGGTCGAAAACTAAGCGAAAGTTCTCACATCTTATCGTTGTTGAGCCAAGAGTCATTCCAGACGTAGATGAAATTGATAATGCTGACCAGCTGAATCACCAGGAACACTGCTGCTCCTGCTATCGCCACCTCGCCATACACCTGAAACACCTCTGGCCAGGTGAAAACCACAGAAGGACCGAAGCGTCAGTGGGAGGGAGTGAGGGATGAAGCAGTGAACATGAACAAACGGATCCAGTCCGTAACAGGACAGAGGCAAGAAGAACACATAAGCCGCACAAGCGCAGAAGCTGGAGGAAGCACACAACAGACATACGGTATGGGAGGAAGAAAGCGCATACATACGGTAGGGGAGGAGGAAGGGGAGGAAGAGCAGCAGCAGCCAGAGGATGAGCTTGGGAGGCCACCAGCCGAAGTGCCAGAGGTCCCGGCAGCTGTCCTCTAGCTTGGTGCCAGCAGTGGTGGCGAGCATGAGCGCGAAGAAGAGGCACAGGCCGAAGCTCACTCGCAGCACTGCTAGCGCGCCCACGCACCCGGGGTTGTTCGGCCCACACGACTGGAAGCCTGGGGGGCAGGAGGTACGGGTAAGGGAGCATGGGAATCAGGAGGGGAGGAGGAAGGGAGGAAGAGCAGCAGGAGCCAGAGGACGAGCTTGGGAGGCCACCAGCCGGAGTGCCAGAGGTCACGACAGCTGTCCTCTAGCTTGGTGCCAGCAGTGGTGGCGAGCATGAGCGCGAAGAAGAGGCACAGGCCGAAGCTCACTCGCAGCACTGCCAGCGCGCCCACGCACCCGGGGTTGTTCGGCCCACATGATTGGAAACCTGGTGGGGAAATGAGGGTGGGAAGCAGGAGGGTAGGAAGCGGGGAAATGGGAAGCAGGAGGGTAGGAAGCAGGGAGATGGGAAGCAGGGGAATGGGAAGCAGGAGAGCGGGGCGCAGGAGCAGAGAGAAGGGGGGATGATCAGCAGCAGTAAGTTTGTGCTTTGAGTAGTGTGAGAAGGCCGAGAGGAAGTGCTTCGCAGGAGTGCGGGACGCAGGAGGGTGGGAAGCAGGAGCAGAGAGAGGGGGAGGGGGGGGCATGACCAGCAGAGACGGATTCGTGCTTCTTGTAAAGTGAGAAGGCCGAACAGTGCTTTTTCGTCTGCGTGAGAGACTGAGTGAAAGTCTGAGTGCTGATGACATCGTTAGCGTGGCGTGATTCACTCTCAGTCTCTCACGCGAGCGTGAGAGACACGTTAGCGTGGAACGACGAGCGGGGTGTGAATTTTCTCCGCAATGCTACGGTACGGGAACGTTGCTACCACCACAGCATTCCAGTCAATGATTCACTATGATTAGCTCCGACAAATCGCACTCACTGTAGAGATTGTACAGTGCATCGGTGGCGTAGTCTCTAAGAACCCACGCGACAACAACGGAGGCCAGGAACATCCCTCCATATAAGAACTTCGCCGCGACGCGCGACGGGCCGATGGAGCAGCAGGAGCAGAGGTAGTGACCCAAAGCGGTACCGGCGAAAGCACCGCAGCAGCCGGCGCAGAATCCGATGCACATCGTGCCTCGCCCGCTAACTAATGCTCCTGATGCTGATCGCAGATCACTGCTGATCGCTTAATGCTGATCGTTGATCGTCAATCGCTGATCTCTGATCGACGGACTTCGCCGGCTCGCTTTGGATTATCAGTTCTCTTACTTATAACGCTCTACCCAGCACACACCGAATCGCCAGTGAATTGATTAACGCATTGCTGGAGGCTGATCATGGTGCTGACGGTCGTCAATGAGTCGGTTCAGTCAGCATATTCGCGAATGCGCAGCGTTTGACACGCAATGGCCGCTGTGCTGGAAGCTAATCAATGAACAAGTTAGTTTGCGGCGTGACGACTACTGACAAGTTTGTGACGGAGAACACTCGAGCTAATCCAGGCCAATAAAGACTACATGTCAGGGCTCCACGCATGAAAGCCGCGCCACGGGAATGATTCGGTGACCAGAGAGCTTGGAGAAAGAGGAAGTCACGGCCTTGCTTCAAGCTGCCGTGCTGAAATGAAGTAACTGTTCCGTCTGGTCCCTGGAGAATGTCGCTTTCATGACGGAAATTCGCCAATTTCACTCTCGTTCAGCACCGCATCCAACCATTGTTTGTTATAAGCGGAATGTTTTGGAACTCAAATCGCCACATTGAGCCGCACTCAAACGTGTGAGACACTGGTTTTTCCGAATATCTTCGTTAATGGCTACCTCATTGCTTTGACGCAGCCTTTATTTTCAACTAGAGTAACTTATTCTGACTCTCTGATTCCCATCTCCAGATTCCATACGTCTTTCTGGCTCGGAGATTTTGGCATGCAACGGATTTCGCCTTTGAACCCACTTGCACCATCTGTCAGATGCCACACAAAAGTTGGCGCGAATGTGTTGTCACCAGCATCACTTCAGGCAATTCAAGCTAATCCCAAGGTGATGTTCGGTTTCACGGCTCGCGTGCAACCAGGAGCTGAAGCAGGGGCTCAGGCAGGATAGCTGACCGCCCTGGTTCTTCCACCGTACGACGCGAAGCTTTTGGTCTTGATAATAATCTCTTACCATAGTTTAACAAGTCGTTTGCCTTGAAATCTCGAGCCGCGTGGTCCGTTTTCCTTTTCCAGAAAAAATAGGAGGCATTCGCGAGCCCTTGGGTGCTCGCAATAATGGCGCTGCTCCTCCGGTCGTCGCGCGCGGAGCGGGTCGTGCGCGCGGGACTTGCGGCAGGATTCCGACGAGCTTGCAGTCCCGCGCTCGGGAGTTTCGCCGTTCGAGATGCCGGTGAAATCCACGGCAGGAGCGACGCTGCTGACGTAGCGAGGGCGCGTGGTGACGTGGCAGGAAGGCGGAGTTACAGCAGCAGCAGCAGCATGGCGAGCCTGCTGTCTCCTCGAGCACCTCCGCTCACTCTAGATACAATCAACCCGCTGGTATCTCACATTGCTTTGGCATAGCTGTTTTTCCGTACTCGTTTTTCCTTACCCGTCATTTTCCTCATTTATTTCTGCTTGATTGTTTTGTTCGTTCTCCTCCCACCCTCGTCCCTCCCTACATCACATCTGCTTCCCTCGTCTCGCCCTCCCTCGCCTCTTTTTTCCCCGCCTATCTGTGTCCCCCACCAGGTGCGCGAGTGCGAATACGCAGTGCGGGGCGAGATTGTCGCAAGAGCGCTCATGCTCGAGTCTCAGCTGGCAGCAAAGCCGGGCACACTGCCCTTTGATGAGGTGAGAAGCATAGTCCCTGATTTTAATCCGAGCCATTTTACCAGACAGTTCCCTTCGCGTGCACTGCAGTCGGAGGGACCTCCACTCCACCTAGAGTTGCATTTCTTCTGCAATGCATACACGGTTCAACCGTGAGCCTTTTTTTTTGCCATCCCCCCTCGGCCCGTCAGATCATCTACTGCAACATTGGCAACCCCCAAGCTCTCGGGCAGCCACCCATCACCTTTTACAGAGAGGTGAGCCTCTGCCTTGCGCAACACTGCGACCATTTCTGAGCTGACTCGTGGCTTTTGACTCGACTTAAAAGGCAACCCCCAAGCTCTCGGGCAGCCACCCAAAACCTTTTACAGAGAGGTGAGTCTCGGCCTTGAATAAGGTAGGCACCATGCAATGCCATGCCTGCCAGGCCTTTCCACATCCACACAAGAGGAGAGGGTCTCACATACAGAATCTGGTAAAGAGCTGGTAAAGAGCCCTCACTCCTCCCGTCCTCCCCCCCCTTAACCCCACCAGGTGCTCGCTGTCTGCGAACACCCTTCCCTGCTGCACGTCAAGAAGCCAGACGGCTCGTCTCCTTTCAGTGCCACGGCGAGGCAGCGGGCACAGCAGATGCTGGGCGCCATTCCGTGTGCTGCCACGGGCGCGTACAGCCACAGCCAGGGGCTGCCACTGTGCCGGCAGGTGGTGGCAGAGGGCATTGCGCGGAGAGATGGCCATGCTGCGTCAGCGGATGATATCTTCCTCACTGACGGCGCCAGCCCTGCTGTATGTGCCCCCGTGTGTTGCTGCGGATCACTGTTATCACGTCTGTCTGTGCTGTCAGTGTTGTCACCACTTTGTCAAAGAGAGATGGCCATGCTGCCTCGGCGGATGATATTTTCCTCACTGACAGCGCCAGCCCTGCTGTATGTGCCCCCGTGTGTTGCTGTGGGTCTCTGTTTGTGAGTGCAGTCACTGCTGTGAGTGCAGTCCTTGTCTTTTTGTAGAACAAGAGCTGTTTTTCCCTCCATCCTTTTACCTTTCCTCCAATTTCAACCCAGGGCTCTTATCTCAACAGTGCCACCACTTCTTATTCTCTCTTCCCACATCGTCCTCCCTCCTTCTCCCTCCTCCTCCGTGTCACCACCAGGTGCAAATGATCCTCAAGCTTCTCGTGCGCAGCAAGGCGGACGGCGTGCTCTGTCCCATACCGCAGTACCCTTTATACTCAGCCTCGCTAGCACTCAACGGAGGCACTCTAGTGCCTTACTATCTTGACGAGAATTCACGCTGGAGGCTCGACCCTGCCCATCTGCAAAAGGCAGTGGAGAAGGCAGGGGAGGAGGGCGTGTGTGTGAGGGCCCTTTGCGTGATCAACCCGGGGAATCCAACTGGGCAGGTGAGGGTTGGGAGATGGCTCTAGCTGTTATTACTGGCCCTGCTATCTGGATGAAGGGACGCACTGGAGGCTCGACCCTGCCCATCTGCAAAAGGCAGTGGAGAAGGCAGGGGAGGAGGGCGTGTGTGTGCGGGCCCTCTGCGCGATTAACCCGGGGAATCCAACTGGGCAGGTGAGGGTTGGGAGATGGCTCTAGCTGTTATTACTGGCCCTGCTATCTGGATGAAGGGACGCACTGGAGGCTCGACCCTGCCCATCTGCAAAAGGCAGTGGAGAAGGCAGGGGAGGAGGGCGTGTGTGTGCGGGCCCTCGGCGCGATTAACCCGGGGAATCCAACTGGGCAGGTGAGGGGTAGGGAGATGGCTCTAGCTGTTATTGCTGGCCCTGCTATCTGGACGAAGGGGCGCGCTGGAGGCTCGACCCTGCCCATCTGCAAACGGCAGTGGAGAAGGCAGGGGAGGAGGGCGTGCGTGTGCGGGCCCTCTGTGCGATCAACCCGGGGAATCCAACTGGGCAGGTGAGGGGTAGGGAGATGGCTCTAGCTGTTATTGCTGGCCCTGCTATCTGGACGAAGGGGCGCGCTAGAGGCTCGACCCTGCCCATCTGCAAACGGCAGTGGAGAAGGCAGGGGAGGAGGGCGTGCGTGTGCGGGCCCTCGGCGCGATTAACCCGGGGAATCCAACTGGGCAGGTGAGGGGTAGGGAGATGGCTCTAGCTGTTATTGCTGGCCCTGCTATCTGGACAAAGGGGTGCGCTGGAGGCTCGACCCTGCCCATCTGCAAACGGCAGTGGAGAAGGCAGGGGAGGAGGGCGTGCGTGTGCGGGCCCTCTGTGCGATCAACCTGGGGAATCCAACTGGGCAGGTGAGGGGTAGGGAGATGGCTCTAGCTGTTATTGCTGGCCCTGCTATCTGGACGAAGGGGCGCGCTGGAGGCTCGATCCCGCCGATCTGCAAACGGCTGTGGAGAGGGCAGGGGAGGAGGGAGTGTGTGTGTGAGCACTCTGTGTGTGTGATCAACTCAGGGAACCCCACAGGGCAGGTGAGACCAAACGGAGGACCCTTGCCTCGTGCCTGACGCGCATGCCCCCATGCCCCATGTCCCATGCTTCATCATGCCCTATGCCCCATGTTCCATGCCCCATGCCCCATGCCTTGAGCCCCGTGCCCTGTGCCCCATGCCCCATGCCTTGTGCCCCATGCCCTGTGCCCCATACCTCATGCCCTGTGCCCTGTGCCCCACTCCCTGGCAGGTGTTAGAGGAGACGGATCAGCAGGCGATAGTGCGCTTCTGTGTGGAGAAGGGTCTGGTGCTGATCGCAGATGAGGTGTACCAGGAGAACGTGTACGCCTCATTCCCCGTACCATAACCCATACCCCGTGCCTGGTATCCATTGCGCTGTGCCCCCGATGCCCCGTGCCCTGTGCCCCACTCCCTGGCAGGTGCTAGAGGAGACGGATCAGCAGGCAATTGTGCGCTTCTGTGTGGAGAAGGGTCTGGTGCTGATCGCAGATGAGGTGTACCAGGAGAACGTGTATGCACCCGACCGCAAGTTCCTGTCCTTCAAGAAGGTCGCCAGGGACATGGGCGTTGGTGCTTCTGACCTTGCGCTAATCTCCTGCCACTCCTCCTCCAAAGGTGAGCACCAAGGCATTCCGTCGCTGGTTTGGCTGCTCATTGTGACGATGGCTTTACATGAGACAGTTCATTTCAGGCCAAAGCCATTTTTTTAAACAAATCTGTACTGACTTGTGTTGCTTGCGTTGGCTTGCCCGTGTGTGTGTGTGTGTGTGCAGGCTTTTACGGCGAGTGTGGAAGACGAGGAGGCTACATGGAGGTTACAGGTAACTGGGACTTTCTGTGCTAGTCTGATGTGGCCTTTATGAATCTACTCGAAACTTTTATTATTTGAAACTACTTGTGCCTGCTCGCATTTGCAACTTGGCACACCTGACTTATTCCGGTTGCATGCGACGTGGTTATGTATTGCAAGCATGACAATAGTCGTAGAGAATCTCTTTCATGGTGATGTTTTCTTGCATCTAGCCTTGCCTTACCAAAGCGCCCCCACGCATGCCTTCTTGTCCATGCAGGTCTGCCCTTGGAGGTGCGCGAGGCCATGTACAAGATGGCATCAGTGAACCTCTGCTCCAACGTACCGGGGCAGATACTCATGTCTCTCATTGCCTCGCCGCCGCAGGTGAGTACCGCTACACTGCTCTGTCCTCCAGTATCCTGATACCATGGCATGGCACTTGGCGGCAGTGCTGCTTCACCTGCCAAGAGGTGTGGTGTATGGCTTTCCAAGATGCCCATATGTCGTGCTGTCATGCTCGTGGCTGTGGGTTTCATTGCATGATAACTCGTGGCTGTGTGTGCCATCGCATGTGGGTGTGTTGTGGGGTATGTTGTATGCTTGCAGGAGGGAGACGATGCCTTTCCTGTCTTTGCTGCAGAGAGGGATGCCATTCTCTCCTCGCTCGCCCGTCGAGCCAAGGTCCGTCTCGCACTCCACCACAGCTTGGCGTTTGTACTCTGTTGCGTTTGTACTGAAGGGAATGGAGCTTCAGTCAAAGTAGGAACATTTCCAAATGCCAGCAGCACTTTCACGATGGTTCATTAGCAGCCGTTGATGAGCTCGCTGCTCAACACTCGTAACAGATATGCCTTCCCCAGACTGCCCTTTCCACCCAACCCCCACTATTCCAGTTGCTGGTTGATGTGCTCAACTCATTACCAGGCATCACCTGCAACCCCTCTGAACCGTGCCATATATGTCTTCCCAAATTGCCCTTCCCTTCACCTCTTGCCCATGTGATCCTGTCCCTCCTCCCACCCAACCCCCACTATTCCAGCTGCTGGTTGATGTGCTCAACTCACTACCAGGCATCACCTGCAACCCCTCTGAACCGTGCCATATATGTCTTCCCAAACTGCCCTTCCCTTCACCTCTTGCCCATGTGATCCTGTCTCTCTTCCCACCCACCCCCCACTCGTCCAGCTGCTGGTTGATGTGCTCAACTCACTACCAGGCATCACCTGCAACCCCTCTGAAGGCGCCATGTACGCCTTCCCCAGGCTGCACCTCCCCCCCCGGGCAGTGGAAGCAGCAGCTGCTGTGGGTATGCTAGCAGACACTTTCTATGCCCGCCGGTTACTTGACGCCACAGGAATTGTCGTGGTCCCGGGATCGGGATTCGGACAGGAGCCTGGGACGTGGCACGTGCGGTTCACAATCTTGCCAAGTGAAGATAAGATCTCGGGAATGATGGAGCGGTTTGCCGAGTTCCATGATAGATTTATGCGGGAGTTCACTGTTTGACAATGGTCCAGTCACTGCAGTGCTGTTTGATTTCTTGTTTGTTCATAGCAGACCTCAAATATAGGTGCATGATCATCTCCACAGTCTCCAATTTTGTGATTCATGTAAAGCAGCGCTATTGTACCATCACATCCCACAAATTGGTTGATGGAGGTTTTCCATTCACATAGTGTGTGTGATTTTTGTATTCCTTTTTTCAATGAAAAACCCCGTATCGAGTACAGATATTTCCATGCTTTGCAGCGAAGATCCCTCCCCAAGCATATGCGCATCTGGCTTTCGTGCTACGTACCTGAATAACTTGCTGCAAGCACTAGCGTCTCGTAAACTGCTTCTACGTCAGCGGAACATCCGCATACGCACGCGTTTGTCTGCTACGATCACCATCTCCAGGGTCTGCTAGATCCGACGTTGTCGTGACCGTCTGCCGCTAACAGCCATCATGGCATGCTGCAAAATTTGCTGGGATCCACTACCTCTAGGGCTCGGCTTGAGGGCGACGAGAAGGATGGGTCAGAAGAACGTAGTAGCGTTACCCCTCGCTACGAGTTCTTCAGAGGCATGTAAAGAACGTACTTTTCTTCTTCTTCTTGCGTGCTACGCGTCCGGTCATCCATGTTTAGGTCTTTTCTCTGCTGCTACAGTCAACAGACCACTGTGAGTTGACGGCTCGCTCTTGTACTCCTTTATCCGCGGTTGCTCGTGTGTGGATCAGAACGAGCGGATGCGAAAGTTAGCCACACGTTCTGCCTCGTCGGACGAGTGGAGTTTCACGCGACCAGACGAGGCTGACAGGTCGAAGGAATTCGCGGCAAGACTCGAGCAAGCCTGGAGCATAAGAAAGGTGCTTCGTGCTGCTTTTAAGTGCACATGTATGTAACTTCTTTTTTCTTACGCACCCCTGTTTCATGTGCAATTTCATGCACCAATAGCATCCTGACTGATGCTCTCCATTCTGTAAACCATCTTGGCTCTCTTCGATTTCTGTTTAACGAGCAGAACCAGGGTCCTGTCGCGTGCGAAGAGTGCATGGCGCAGGGATGTATTGAGTGCAAGTGGTGTCGTGGAACCGGCTACTTCATTGTGGGAGACAGTCTGCTATGCTCGGTATCCTCAAGGAGCAATACTTGCGTAATTTGCGGGGGGAAGGTGAGTCCTACATCTTGGAAGAGCATTGTGAGAAGGAATTTATTCTGTTGTCTCTTTTCTGGACAAGGTAATTTCCGTTCCTTTTTGTCCACTTTTTGGGAATGGTCGTCGTTCTAATATGTGTCCCTTGTGCCACACCTACGCAGGGTACTGTCCGTTGCCTTGACTGTGCTGGTACTGGTTTCAGAGCACGTTGGCTAAAAAGACCTACCCCAGGGAAACAGCCATCAGGTTGAACATTTTTGTTCTCTTCCTGGCAAGGTGGTTCGAGATGTTGGCCATCTTGGCACCTAATGGGTCTGATGCAATCAGTTGCATCAATTCGTTCTCTAGTTTGATTTGAGGGGCCTTTTGATTATTGTGCCGCACTCCGTTGTGCCACCAGAGGCACAGTATGTACATAGATGAAATGGAAATGCCAAAAACCTATGCATGGCTTGTAACAATATTGTTACCAACGCTGTCGCCGCTAATTGGGAAGTACGTGTACAGTACTTGTTACCTTCGCTAAGCATTGAGGCATCCAGAAAGGTCTGCCCGGCTGGCTCAACGATTCGATTCTTTCCGCGTTCTTTCTAACGGAGTCGATTGTGACGATTGGATGTCGCTAACGTTTTCCGTCATCCTACCCCTTTCTTGGCAAGGTTGGTCGGGTTGCTTGCTGCATCCCCTCACCTCCACCCTTCTTGCCTCAAAACCGCTCATTTCCTTGTTACCACCTACCCTGCTCAACTCCTCTCCTACAGCCCTGAAAGTGCTTCCTGCTACTTACTGTACTAGCCTCGGAACCTAGCATGGTGCTATGAGGTTGCTCTAACAATGTTCTAGGGCTGTCCGACTGTGGTGAAGTCCTGTTTAGTGTGTCGTGTCGGTAGCACAGGCCGATATTTAGATTGGTCTGGTGGTGAATAAGTTTTGTGTTCTCCGTGGCGGAAGTATGGAGCGATATGAGATCCTCAAAGATATTGGGTCGGGAAATTTCGGGATTGCGAAGTTGATGCGAGATAAGAGAACTAAGGAGATGGTGGCGGTGAAGTTCATTGAGCGTGGCGACAAGGCACGTCCATATTCGTTTGCGTCCATCTTTCCTCCAACCGAGCTGGAATCACGCTCTTTACTTCGGTTGACGAGTGTTTGATTTCTCCAAAAGGGTTGCTTGATGTTTGCAGATCGACGAGAATGTTCAGCGTGAAATCATTAACCATCGCTCTCTTAGGCATCCTAACATCATCCGATTCCGTGAGGTGCGTCGCTCATCTTCCCTCTGCTCCTCGGCTGCTTTAGGTTTCTCGTGTGGTTGTTCAGCTAGTGACCGCTGGAAGTTTTGTTTTTGTTGTTATTTTCCAGGTTTGCCTCACTCCTCAGCATTTGGCCATCATTATGGAATATGCGGCCGGTGGTGAGCTATTCGAGCGAATCTGCAACGCTGGTCGTTTCAGCGAAGACGAGGTACGTGTTGCACGCATTTTTGTCATCCATTTTTCTTCTCAATAGCACTTGGGTTGAAGCTGTTGACGCATTCTGTTATGTCTTTCAGGCTCGTTTTTTCTTTCAACAACTGGTCGCTGGCATTAGCTACTGTCACTCCATGGTAAGAATAACCCGCGTCATCTGTTTTGCATAGATTTATGGTTGCATACTAATGTATGAACTCTTTTCGTTTGCAGCAAATTTGCCATCGCGATCTGAAGCTTGAAAACACTCTTCTGGATGGAAGTCCTGCACCCCGTCTGAAGATTTGCGATTTCGGTTACTCAAAGGTACTGTGTGGAATTGAGGCTGGAGATGTAGCATTGTGAACCAGCACTAAGTATTCCCTCTCTCTTCTTTTCAGTCCTCCCTGCTTCATTCACAACCGAAATCCACCGTGGGCACTCCAGCCTACATTGCACCTGAAGTTCTCTCTAAGAAGGAGTACGATGGAAAGGTAAGCAAGTTTTGGCTGAATTTTGCAAAAGCATCACGTATTGCTTCATTCCTCGTCTGACTAAAGTGTTTCCCATGTGGCAGACTGCTGACGTCTGGTCTTGTGGAGTCACACTATACGTCATGCTTGTAGGGGCTTATCCATTTGAGGACCCTGATGACCCACGAAACTTCAGGAAAACCATCGGTGTATGCCTACATTGCCTCTTTGCTGCTGTTTCAGCTCCTTCCCCACGCCCCCAGCATTCATGACTGTCTGCCTCTTATGTTGCCTTGCTTGCAGCGCATTATGAGTGTCCAGTATCACGTTCCACCATATGTGCGCCTCTCTCCGGAATGCAAGCATCTTCTGTCAAGAATCTTCACAGCAAACCCCACAAAGGTGAGTTTTAGTATTCAGCTGGGAGGTAGCCTTGGTTGTTTACAAATGGATTTGGCTCTCACCGTCCTGTACCCCCTCCCCCCCTCTCCCCCCCCCCCCCCTCCCCCCCCATCTCCCCGCTTGTCCGCAGCGCATCACAATGCCGGAAATCAAGAGGCACCCTTGGTTCTTGCGGAACCTGCCAGCAGATCTGATGCATGAAAATGACCCCGGTTACCAGTACGATGATCCTAACCACCCGCCTCAAAGCATCGAAGAGATCATGAGGATATTGCAGGAAGCCCGGGTTCCAGGCATTGCTCAGCCTTCCGGCGATGGTTACCTCAACGATGACAGGGATGACGAGAGAGATGATGAGGACATGGACAATGACATGGATGACTTCGAGGGCAGTGGAGAGTTTGTCAATGCTCTTTAAGAGACTTCGGTCCTTTTATTCCATTTACATGGCTGCACAGCATGAGGTGGCTGGCATATTGTTGCTCCTTGTGTTGCAGTTCTCTTGCTAGCTGTAGTACAAATTTTAGTTTGACTCTGGCCGTTAGTTTCTTGTGCCAGCTTGCAGTGAGACATTGCAGACAAAGATTGATGTACAGGTGGATGGAATGACCTTCATTCAAGGATGGCCAAGAAACAGGGAATAATGAGTGGTATATGAACAGTGAGCAATTATGTCCACAATTCAGCCACCTCCACTGGTGGTTTTCAACTGAATGGCTGCTAGTTCCTCCTCCACAAACTCTCCAGCAGGCTTGGGTGGAAAGCTAGATGTCAGTTTGCTAGTGGCAAAGTGCCCAATGGGCGTGAGGATCTCATCTGACGCTATATGTGCAAAAACCTGCGCAAAGAAGACAGCCATAATCAGCACGATCAGAAAAACCTGCTGCAAAAGAAATCATTGTCTCCCTTCCAACTCTCAAATCACCAATACCACACCTGCTGCATAAACTTCAAGCCAGAATGCACTGGGTAATGGTCCTTCCTCCCACATACCGTACTGGAGACTCGCCAGAGGCTGCGTCCCTGCTGCTGTGCTCTCTGCACCGCAGCCACTGTGCCCTCATCCACCACCACCTCATGCATTCCTGCCGGCACCTCTCCTCCTGTCAGCCACTCCATCTGCCATGTTACACATGCACACACATGCCACACCAGGAGGATGATGAAAAGGAGGCTGTTCAACAATCATGTCATATTACCAGGAGAGAAGCAGCAGAACTCATCACACACACACAACGGAGCTGCCACAAAAGCAGGACTTGAGGGACTCGACGGACCAGATGTCTCACAGCTGTCACATCACACCAGAAACAGCGCAGACCACATTCCCCTGCACTCACCTGTTTCCCAGCTTGCAGCAGCAGGCAGCCATCAGGCACGGAGACACGGCAGCAGGTGCCATCCCTCAGCCAGATGCGGAGGCCAGGAAATCTGCACCGTCCGTGGATGGTGAGGAAGTTGAGATCTGCATGGTACCCTGCCAGGACTGTTCCAGGAGAGCCGTGCTCTCCCAGGTCACTCCCTGTAGGGGCCAGCAGGTGTGGACCCTGGGGAGGGGTGGAGAAGGGGCCAGTAGGATGGAAGGACGGGGGAAAGGCAGTGGGGAGGTGGGCCGGAGAAAGGGTGGAGTGCAAATGAGAAAGGGTGAGTGGGGCGGTGGAAAGAGAGGGATACGATAAGGCAGTGTGGGTAACAGGGCAGAAAGGAACGTTGAAAAAGAAGCAAAGCTAAGAACAATGGTGGCGAGAGAAATCGAGCTACGATGTGAGGGGGGTTTGTACCATGTGCATGCGAGAGGTAAATGAGTCCTGTGGGAGATCGAAGCCGATTGCCAGCATCTCCGCCACAGCCTGCCAAACCACACACAGGCAAGCATCCCATGTCAAACACGTGGCACTTCCAAAGTCATATATTATTCCACACATCCGCATCTGACTACTACAGAGCCGCAACTAAAAACTGTAACCACTCGTTTTCTTCCAGCCCACTCTCCCCTCCCTTCACTTTTGCTTGCCCTTCCACCTGCTCCCCCAAGGCATTTTCCTCACCTCCACGGCAGCTGTCATCTTGCCTCCCCACCCATCCATCACAGCTGCCCACTGAGGAAACCCCTCCGGCACCACTGGACTCGCGTTCAGCTCCTGTTACACGCACAGCCGATATATGCACACACACTAGGTATAAGCATATTTAATACAAGCACAACACAATCAAAGGCGTTGCAACGTACGGGAACCGCTCTGCGCTTTGGAATCAGCGCCCTGTCGCCCCCACCTGGTACTGGGTGCGCGGGGAGCCACTCCCCCTTTCACCTTCGCCCTCACCTGGTATCTGGTGCGCGCGGGGCGGGGACCGACGCGCCACATGAAGCGCCACTTGCAGTCGGGGCCGGAGGGCGCGTGGGGGCGGCTGTCCGCGGGGAGTTGCGCCATGCGCGCCTTCACCGCCTCGTCCAGCGCGCTCTGCGGCATCTCCACGCCCTCGGGGTCACGCCCACCTGCTCGGGCGCGGGAGAGGGCGCGGGAGAGGGCGCGGGGGAAGGGAGGAAGGGGGCACGGGGCAGGGAGGTGAGGATTGTGAGCGGAGATGCGGACACGGCAGGCACACTGGAAACAGAGGACGGATAGACGCGGGTGTGCGCGCGGGGAGCTGCGCCATGCGCGCCTTACCACCTCGTCCAGCGCGCTCTGCGGCATCTCCACGCCCTCGGGGGTCACTCCCACCTGCGCGGCGCATGCCGCAAGACGGACGGCGCGTGAGGGGAGAAAAGGGAGGAAGACGGGGGGGTGGCGCGGGGGGGACATGGGAGGGGAGGCACACGGCAAACAGCTGGTGGAGAGTCCGGGAAAAGACGCGGGTGACTGGAAGCGCTAACAGCGGAAGAGTACCCGCTAGGGCTCTCGACAGAGTGAATCTCGTAGGAAAAACGGCCATTCTATTATCTCAACCACCACAGCGCACCTGATAGTGCAGCTCCGGGCGTGAGTGCGCAAGCTTCGTCGTCTTGGGTTGCGCGAAGTACGACTCCATCATGTCCAGAAACCGGTCGTTGTCCGCCTGCGCGCACCGCGGGTCGCGCACGATCAGCGCGCTCGTTGCGCGCAAACACTCCGCCATCGCCCGGCAGGTTTCCGCCACAGACGCGGGGAGCGCCGCGGCGCCCGTCTGCCCTGCGGCGGCATTTCCCGCTTGCTCGCGACGCGCAGCCTCTTTCAGGTGCAGAAACTCTGTCAGATCGAACGGCTGCAGGGACGCCATCTTGACCGCTGGGCGGACAGCAGCGGCAGCCGCGGGTTCGCCGCGATGCTGGTTGCGTGGTAGGTTACTAGCAGACGTCGCAGCTTGTGTGTGCTGACTTTCTTCTCGCACTCGGATAAGAAGATTTACCCGCACGAGGGTCGCTCCGAGGTCGTGAAGCGAGGAGTAAAGCAGAGGAGGAATGCGAGGAGGAACGCGAGGAGGAATGCGGCTCTTGGATTGTGGAAGCAGAGAAGGACGCTTGCTAGGTGCGAGTGTCAGCGATATATTTACAGGTATAAGCCCGCTTGGCCGTGGGCCGGAGTGACGGACGACAGGAAACCTGGAACCGTAACGAAAAAAGCGGCGCTTTCTCGGTCTGGAATGGCGGGAAAAACCAGTTATCAAGCCTCCAAACTCGTCGCCTCCGCGCCTGACGGGAAAATTCCTTCCTAGAATGAGCTTTGCTGCTAGGAAGGAATGTGCTTTTGCTGCTTGGTTTGGCGAAAAATGAGGATGCTCCCGTCCCGTGGTGTTTGGTTTGAATGCTCGAACTTGGTGTATTCGTTAAAGAATGCCTCACTTGGAGGTTCGGTGTTTGTTAGCTTGAAGTTGACGACCGACTGCAGCCCGCAAATGAATTGTACTTATGCTGATTTTGAAACTGTGCCGTGGCGACAAGATTACGTTCGAGAAGAATCGTGATCAATTTTCGCAAACTGGTTACGACGATATTGGCTTCGCAATCACCAGCGCAAAAAGCAATAGTGAGTCTGTGGATCTGCTCCCAGCGATTTCTGACTGCCAGAAGCCAAGTCCACAATGGCTGCACTAGTTACTATGCATGGTTGACCATTACTGCGACAAATCCAAGGGGAAAAATGGCTTCTTCATACTTCAGTATCGCGCTCTGCTGCATGCAAGGGTAGTTTTCCCGCATCTCGCGCTATCACGCATTTGCTCGAACACTTCTGCATTCGCATTCAAGGTTCCTGGATGAGACGATTTTGAGATTCGCATATGTCCTTCCCTCTCGTCAAGCCCAAGCGTCCTCGAATCGCAGTCGACGAAATGGCCTCTCTGCAATCGGGATACCCCGCTCTGGGCCTCGATCCTTCCGCGACTCGCGCCATCTCTACATCATGGTGGAATCTGGACCGCTCATTGAACGCACTGATCGAGGGAATCAACGGCCGGATTAGCTGCAGAGCATACACCACGACGGAAGGCGACGGAAGCAGCGAGACCGACGATACGATAGAGGGACTCGCGTGGAACGCGAGAGGAGGCAGGCGCAGGGCTGTGAGGTTCTGGCGGGAAGGGGAGAGGAGGAAGGATCTTGCCGAGCTGTGCCGAGGTGGCATGGGACAAGTGACGCTTGATTACGTCAGCGGATGCCTGAAGGTGAGTGGAAGTGTTTGCGTCAGTCAATGCTTGCTGCCAGCTCTCTGGTTCGGAAGCTGTCTTGGACGATTACTTGAGCCTCAATGTCTCCTGTTCCGTCCTGCTACTATATTTTCTGTTAACCCCTGTACCTCCCTGCTCTGCTCTGCTCCGCTCTGCTTTTCCCTGTTATTCCCTGTTCCCACTTCAAATCCCCACATCTCGTCGCATGGCCGTCTCCCAATTCTCTCTCTCACGGCTTTGTTGGCACAGAGAAGTTTCCAGGAAATTGCTGTGCCCCGCTTCCAGAGAGGAATCAGGGAAGCAGCAAGAATTGGGGAAGGGGGAGGAAGGGGAGGTAATGGAGCAGGACGGGAGCCAAAGAAGAGGGGCAAGCAGCACCCGCAGATGGAAGCTGCCAGGAAATTACGCATTGCTTTGGACGAGCTCTGTGCAGTGAAGTACGCTTTCACGCTTGTGCTTGCTGACGTGGCAGCTGAGGTGGCACAATGCAGTGCCAAGTATGGTGTTGTGAACATGTGGGATGCTCCGTGGGCTGATGCAGAAGGGGCAGAGGAGGGGGAGGAGGAGGAGGACGAGGAAGAGGAAGGGGAGGAAATTGGGGAAGAGGAGGAGAACGAGCAGGAGAAAGGTGAGGAGAAGGAGGAGGGGGAGAGAGAGGAGGAGGAGTGGGAGGAGTGGGGAGGAGAAGAGAGCGGTGTGGTGGAGGAGCTGAGGGAGAGCATGCAAGCCATGCTGGTCAACGCCACACCGCCACAGCTGTATGGTGAGTGCGGTTCAGTGCGGTACCTGCAGTCTGAGCTTTCTGTATGGTGAGTGTGATGGCAGCACTTTCAGGAATATATGGGGGCAGGCCTATAGCGCCCATGTTGCATTCCCACTGGCACATCTATTCACCTACCTGCACACATTTACACCCACGTGTACACCCACCTGCACACATAAACACACACCTGCACACATTCCCACCTGCTCACATTCCCACCTGCTCACATTCCCACCTGCTCACATTCCCACCTGCTCACATTCCCACCTGCACGCATTCCCACGTTCTCATGTCTCACCCAAGCACATTCCCCCCGGGTGCACGCACATGCATGGCAGGGCTGCTGCAGGAGTTCTTGTCGTCTCGCTTGAAGGAGGTTTCTCAGTGCATGCGCCCATTCTATAGCGAGGATGATGACGAGGAGGAGGAAGAGGAAGAACAAGAGGAGGAGGATGAGGAGGAAGATGAAGTGGAGGAAGGAGAGGAGGAGGAGGTCGGGGAGGGGGAGGTGGCGGAGGCAGGGGATTTAGAAGAATCAGCAGAAAAGCTACAGTCAAACCCACTGGGAACATATGGCACCCCTGTGGCTGCCACGGGCACAGCAGGTGGGGAGAGATATCACCAGCACCCGGGGGAAAGACTCACGCCTTTACTGAACGCTGAGAGTCCGAATCTGCACGGAAGCTTCCCTGGGTATGGGGAAGAGGAGGGAATGAGTGAGGGCAAGGGGGTGGGGAGGGGGCCGAGGAGGCGACTGGAGGATGAAATGGCAGCTCTTGCAGGGAGAGGGAGAGGGGTGGGAGAGGGGGGAGCGGGAGAGGGAGACAGAGGAGAGGTGCGTGAAGCAGCAGCGGCAGTGAGTGGAGTGGAGGAGGATATGCTTGCAGCAGTGCTGGATGGCTTGCTAGGTGCTACAGAAAAGGGTGGGAGAGAGAAGGATGGGTACAGGGAGGGAAGGTATGGGGGGCGAGAGAGTCTAGAAGGCGATGGGGCCGAGGGTGGGGGGGAGGAGGTTCGGGCCTATGGGGAAGGGGACGGTTATGGGAACAGTGGGGCCTCTGGGGAGGGGGGGAAGGCAGACACGCTTGTTCATTGGGCGGGGCGGTTGGAAGAGAGGATGGGGCGGGCGTGGGTGTGGCGTGTGCAGCAGGTGATGCTTGCACTGCGGTTCTCAGGACTGTCGTTCCTGGCGCATGCTGTGCTGTCCGCTGTGCTGCTAGCCCGGCTTAAGGCGCATGTGCATGCATCGGCAGGAGCTGTTTTCGACCGTCGGATCCTCCCGCGCCTGCATCGATGGCTGCAGGTCACTGCCCTGCCCTTCATTACTATCACCACCTGCGCAGTCACCCCTAGCACCACCGGTACTGTCACCCCCACCACTGGCACCAGCACTGGTGCTGCTGCCCCCATCATCTCCAGCCGTGGATCTCGCGCGTCGGATGAGATCTCAGCCGTACATCTGCGGCAGTGGCACGCATGGTTGCGCCAGGTGGCGGGCAGGGAGCTGTGTGCGGTGCGCACAGGACAACTGTTTGACATCATCGTCGATTACCCCGACTCCACCCCTGCCCTCCTAGATCTTAAAGATTGCCTTGAGAATCACGGCGCTGCTGCTGCTGTTGCTGCTGCTGACGCCACTGCTGGTGCCACTGCTGGTGTTGGTGGCTCGGGCTTCAGTGCTGCTGCTGGTGGGGCTGGTATGGAGGGTTTCGGGACAGCTGCCCTTGCAGCCGCCACTCCTCCTCTCATTGCTCTTGTGGCCTCTCAAGGAGGGAACGGTTTGACAGGTGTGACTGGTCTGAGTGGTGCAAGTGGTGTGCGAGGAGGCATGGGAGGGGATGGGGTAGGTCTGGGAGGGGAAGGTGGCAGTGGTGGTGGGGGGAATGCGTATGCCAGGCTGGTCGCGTCGTTCCGGGCGGCGCTGGCCAATCGGCTGCTGACAGCTGGCGCGTCGACGGCGGATATCCTGCAGCAGTATGTGTCGGCCATACGGGCGCTGAGGCTGGTGGACCCATCGGGGGTGGTGCTGGAGGCAGTCAGCGAGCCCATCAGACAGTACCTCAGAGGACGAAAGTGAGTGCATGTGTCTGTAGGGCTGCGAGAAACTTAGTGAGTGAATGATATCCTGCAGCAGTGCGTGTCGGCCATACGGGCGTTGAGGCTGGTGGACCCATCAGGAGTGGTGCTGGAGGCAGTCAGCGAGCCCATCAGACAGTACCTGCGAGGCAGAAAGTGAGTGCTTGTGATGGTAGGGTGGGAGGTGATGTCGTGTGGGGTGAGGGTGTGCTTCGAGTAAGTTGTGCCACAATCAGTGGGCTCTGCGGTTGGTTTGGTGGACCCGTCGGGGGTGGTGCTGAAGGCGGTCAGTGAACCCATTCGACAGTACCTCAGAGGACGAAAGTAAGTTGTGCTCGTGGCTGTGATGGTAGGGACCATACCATTCAGGCTCAGAGGCCAGTGGACCCGTTGGGGGTGGTGCTACAGGCTGTGAGTGAGTCCTTTTAAGGCAGGAGGTGAACCATCCGCGCCACCTGTCCCCAATCCTTATCTCCCTCTCCTCCCCACACGCAAATACAGGGACACCATTCGCTGCATCATGACACTGCTGACCCAGCATCCTTCTGCAGCGCCAAGTGGCGCCATCAAGGGCGCTGCTGACGTGGCAGATGACGTGGCAGGGGAGGGGGGGGACCCGGGTGACCTGTCACTGCTGGAGGAGCTAAGCCGGGCGGCGGAGGGGGGTGAGGGGGAGGCGGGGGGGAGTGGGGAGGGGGAGGAGGAAGGGGCAGGCTTGGGGGAAGACTTGGCTGCGGCTTATGCTGCTGCTGAGCGGTGAGTGGTGGTGCTGAGCGGTGAGCAGCAGTGCTGAGTGTTGAGGCTGCTTGGGGGAAGATCTATCTGTGGCTTATGCTGCTGCTGATCGATGAGTGGTGAGGGGGGGCGTTGCTGGTGAGCTGAGCAGAGAGCTAGGAGGTGCTAGTGATCTAAAACTTCGCAAACCGCTTGGAGGTGCTTTTAGAATGCTAGCAACCGCTTCTAAGTGACCTTCCCCTTCACCACCCAATGCTTTACACTCTCACCCTTCCTCCCGCCCCTCCTTCCCGCAGCTGGCAGCCAGACCCAATCGATGCAGACCCCTGGCAGTCGTCAGGGCAAGCACAGAGGGCGCGGGACATAGTGTGCATGCTGGCAGGGGTGGTTGGGTTCTGCTGGGGTTGACGCTCACATCTTACCGTTTCCATCCCTCCCTTCTTCCCGCAGCTGGCAGCCAGACCCCATCGATGCTGATCCCTGGCAGTCGTCAGGGCAGGCGCAGAAAGCGAGGGACATAGTGCGCGTGCTGGCGGGGGTGTTTGGCGTCACCTGATATGGCACTCTTGCTTGGGATTCTCCTCCCCTTCCCTCCCTCCCACCTCTTCCCCTCTTCCCCCAGCTGGCAGCCAGACCCCATTGATGCTCACAGAGGGCGAGGGACATAGTGCGCGTGCTGGCGGGGGTATTGTGTTTGGGTTGTGTTAAGTCGTTTGAAAACACCCTTCCCTGCCTCCCCTCGCCCGCAGCTGGCAGCCAGACCCCATCGATGCCGATCCGTGGCAGTCGTCAGGGCAAGCACAGAGGGCGAGGGACATAGTGCGCGTGCTGGCGGGGGTGTTTGCCACACCGCTTGATCTGGCAACCATTCTTTGCATTCGCCCTTTCCCTCCCTCCTTCCCTGCCCTCTTATTCCCGCAGCTGGCAGCCAGACCCCATCGATGCCGATCCCTGGCAGTCGTCAGGGCAAGCACAGAGGGCGAGGGACATAGTGCGCGTGCTGGCAGGGGTGTTTGGGTCGCGCGAGGTGCTGCTGGGGGAGTACCGCGGCATGCTGGCGGAGAGGCTTGTGGGGCGCGCTGGGTATGACACTGACAGGGACGTTCGCACTCTGGAGCTGCTCAAGGTGGGTGGGAGTTGGAGGGAGTATATACAGTCAAGGTACATAGCATGGGTGGATGTCCATTCATTTGAGGTGCTGCTGGGGGAGTACCGCGGCATGCTGGCTGAGAGGCTTGTGGGGCGCGCTGGGTATGACACTGACAGGGACGTTCGCACTCTGGAACTTTTGAAGGTGCGTGGGATGGATATGGAGGGAGTGCATGCAGTGAAGTTACATAACATGGATGAACATTGGAGGTGCTGCTGGGGGAGTATCGTGGTATGCTGGCGGAGAGGCTGGTGGGACGCGCTGGGTATGACACTGACAGGGACGTTCGCACGCTTGAACTGTTGAAGGTGCGTGGGAGGGGGAGAAGAGAGATGTTGATGCCTGTGTGTCCAATTCGAGGGTCAGGGTAGGTGCTATGCGTGTGTGCTCCATTGGAGGTGCTGCTGGGGGAGTATCGAGGCATGCTGGCGGAGAGGCTGGTGGGGCGCGCTGGGTACGACACTGACAGGGACGTGCGCACGCTGGAGCTGCTCAAGGTGTGTCGGAGGGACAGTGAAGAGAGCTGAATGCTCGTGTGGTATGTGCTATGCATCTGTTCTGGTGGGGCGCGCTGGGTACGACACTGACAGGGACGTGCGCACTCTGGAGCTGCTTAAGGTGGGTGGGAGGGAGAAATAGAACTCAATATTACTGTGTTACACTCACGGTCAAGGTATGCATTTCAATGTGAAGTTCGACACTGACAGGGACGTGCGCACTCTCGAGCTGCTTAAGGTGGGTGGGAGGGAGAAATAGAACTCAATATTACTGTGTTACACTCACGGTCAAGGTATGCATTTCAATGTGAAGTTCGACACTGACAGGGACGTGCGCACTCTCGAGCTGGTCAAGGTGCGTTGACAGGTGCTTAAGGTGCGTGGTAGAAAGTGCGTGCTTGAAAGTGCGAGAGGGTGGGTGCGTAGTTTCTTGGTTTGTGCAGGTGCACGTGTGTGCTTCTGATGGTGCTTCTAAGAGACGTCGCAACCTTTTTCCTCCCCATTCCCCCTCCTCCTTTCTTTTGCTTTACTTTCAGTTGCGTTTTGGAGAGTCCAACTTGCATGCGTGCGAGGTGATGCTGAGGGACATGGCGGATTCAACGCGCAATAACAACCCGGCCCTGCCCCTCTCCACACCCCACACCTCCCGTTTGCCTCTAACCCCTCCCGTTTCCCCAGCTGCGTTTCGGATAGTCGAATTTACACACATGTGAGGTGATGCTCAGGGACATAGCGGACTCAAAGCGCATCAACGGCTGCCCATCCCCCCACCCTGCCCCTCTCCACACCCCACACCTCCCCTCGACCCCTCTAATGCCTTTCCCCGCCTTCCAGTTGCGTTTTGGCGAGTCGAATCTTCACGCGTGCGAGGTGATGCTGAGGGACATGGCGGATTCAAAGCGCATCAATGGCAACGTGAAGGCGGCCATGCGGCAGGCGCGGGAGGAGGCCCGGGATTTGGCAGAGGCGCGTTTGAATATTGCTCGCTCGAAAGCCATCATGCGGCGACGAGGTGGGTGAGGGTGAGGTAGGAGAGCAGAGGGTAGTGAAGACGGCCATGCGGCAGGCCAGAGAGAAGGAGGCTCAGGACTTGGCAGAGGCGCGTTTGAATATTGCTCGCTCGAAAGCCATCATGCGGCGACGAGGTGGGTGAGGGTGAGGTAGGAGAGCAGAGGGTAGTGAAGACGGCCATGCGGCAGGCCAGAGAGAAGGAGGCTCAGGACTTGGCAGAGGCGCGTTCTGCTATTGCTCGCTCGAAAGCCATCATGAGGCGACGAGGTGAGGATGGTGCATGTGCAGGGAGGAAGGGTGGGGAAGCGAGGAGAGGGTGAGGGATGGGGAGGGTAGTGAAGGCCGCCATGGGGCAGGCGCGGGGGAAGGAGGCTCAGGTGCTGGCAGAGGCCCGTTATGCTGGTGCTCATGCTGCTATTGTTCTTATTCACCTACTTTTCCTCCTCCCCTCCGTTTCCCCCTCTTTCTCGAATGGTTTCACACTTGCGTGCAGGCCTATCAGTGGTGGGGGCAGGGAGGGGAGCAGCAACGGCACAGAGAGAAAGCACGGGCACGGGGGGAGGTCCATCTGGGTCAGGCTCATCTGCGTGGTCGCAAGCACAAACGCCAGAGCACCTGGTGGTGAGGGGCATGGCATCGCTCTCCACCCCTCCAGACCGACCTGGGAGAGGAGGAGAAGGGGGAGATGGAGGAGGAGGAGGAGGGGGAGGGATTGTGGGAGGGGGAGGAGGGTCTCAGTGGTTTACACCAGAATCGTTCGCCTCTCCTCCTCCTGCTGCTGCTGCAGCACAGGCGCCCGCAGGTGAGTGAGGGTGGCGTGGGAAGGAGCAGAACAAAAAGGTGGGGTATCATTTCCAATTCTCTGTTGCCCTTCCCGCATTGTCCTTTTCCTTGTCCCGTGTTTCCCCGTTCCCTCTCCCGCCCTTTCCCCTTTTCCATTGCCATCTCCCCTTCGTCCATTCCCTGTTGCCCTTCAATTTTCGTCTTTTCATTCCTCTCACCAGCTTCCTCTGCCCCTTTTTCGCCCCTTTTCCTCTCCCAAATTCTCCGCAACCCCCCTTGGGTTGTACCTTGATGTAGCACCTCCCAACCCTCCTGCCCCTGCACCCCCCCCTCTCACCCGCACTTTCACCTGCCCAGATTCTTCAGGGGCAGCTGCCCCTCCTCCCCGGGCAGCCCGGCCAAATCTTCTGTCCCGCTGGGCCCGCCTCCGCCCAGACCTTCGCACACCAACGTTTTCCGGAGACCGTTCCGCAGATCGCGGGCAGCCCGGAAATTCCGCCCGGACTCCCGGCCAATCAGGCGGCGGCAGCTCAGCTATTGGGGGAAACAGGGGCAGCGAGAGGGGCGGGCAGGGGGGCTTCTGGAATGTGATGGATGCATTGGGAGGGGAGGGGAGTGGGGACGAGGAGGATGAGGGGGAGATGGAAGGAGGGGAGGAGGAAGAGGAGGAGGCGAAGCCAGAGGAGAAAGAGGAGTTGTTAGAAGCAGAGAATCTAGACGCTACAATTGTGTCTGCGCTTTTTTGGCCGGCTTTTCAAGAGGAATCGGTGCGGTTACCAGCGCCGGTTACGAAGCTGATGGAGGAGTATGCAAGCAACTATGCTACGCTGAAAGCGCCACGGAAGCTGCAGTGGAAGGCGAACCTGGGGTGCGTTACAATCGAGCTGGAGTTTGGTAACGGGCGTAACACGCAGCAGTACACTGTAACGCCCGTTCAGGCGGCCATTATCCTGAAATTCCAAACGGCTGGAGCAGGAGGAGGGGATAAGGGTGGGGGAAGTGCAAGTGACGGTGCTGAAAACGGAGAAGCTAATAAGGAGGATGAGACGAAGCCGCAGTGGGCGGCATCTGAGCTGGCGGCAGCCGTGGGCCTGTCAGTGCCGGTGCTGCGTCGGCGAATCACGTTCTGGGTGAATCAGGGCGTGATAGTCGAATCGGTCGCGACCAATCGGTCTCCTCCGGAGCCTCTTTTCACAGCTGTCGATCAACAAGCCGACCCTGCTTCCGCTGGTGCTGCTGGTGGGGACAGAGATGGTGATGTTGACGCTGCTGCTGGTGGTGCTGGTGAGGGTGCGGGGCTGGGTGGGTTGCGAGAAGATGGAGAGGGAGAGGACATGGTAGCAGGTGGAGAGTTGCTGATCGGGGATGATGGTGAGGAGGAGGAGGGGGGAGGCATGGTGGCATCGTTGGAAGCGCAGAGGAAGCAGGAGAGTGCGGTGCACGAGTCGTTCATAACAGGCATGCTCACCACGTTCGACGGCCTGCCTATCGAGCGAATCCACAACATGCTCAAGATGTTTGTCTCTGACCCGCCGTATGACCGCTCGCTGGCGCAGCTGCACGTGTTTCTGGGAGTGCTGGTGGCGCAGGAGAAATTGGAGCTCAGGGATGGGCTGTACCGTAAGAAAAAGTAGATATGCTTCGGTTCAGATCGGTTCTGGCATCGTTGGAAGCACAGAGGAAGCAGGAGAGTGCGGTGCCCGAGTGTCTCATACGGTAACAGGCATGCTCACCACGCATAGTGGTATAGATTTCTTTGGTAGTGCTCCTGCTGGTGCTGTAGCTGGGGGTTCTGGTGGTGTAGGCGAAGCTGGAGGTTTGGGACAGCTGCGGTATTTGACCTGCCAAAGGACGTGGTATACAGACATCGCAAGAAGGATTGCCGTGCCAATAAAAATTTTAGGTTACAGTAGGTTCCCTGCCTACAGACCTTGGTTTCTACTAGGTGATACGCTTTGGCAGGAGGCTGTGTACTTTATACCGTAGGCAGGTGATGCACTCTCCTCTCTCTCACCCTCCCCTCTAACTGATGTAGCTGTTGTAGTCCGCACTTAAAAGATAGCTTTTTATCAACATGAAACTCCACTTTCAGTGTACTACTAAATAGTGTATAACTGTTATTCGCCCTTCTCCCCTGCATCCCCTGCCTCCATCTCCTGCAGTACTCTTTCAGCAGCTGACGGCCGGCTACTCACTGAGCCTGACGACGACGTGACCTGCCATGGCCGTATCACAGAAGGACACGGGACAAGGGAGGGGGGAGAGATGATTTTGTTGGCAGATTGATGTGACTCAGCTGCCAACTTCATCTCCTGCAGCACTCTCTCTGCCGCTGATGGTCGGCTGCTCACTGAGCCTGACGACAACGTGACCTGCCATGGCCATATCTTGAGAGCGATAAGGGGTGGGAAATGGTGGGAACTGTAAGTAAGGCATGCGAGGAGGAAGAGGAGGACGAGGGTGAAAGATGATGGGGAGGAGTGCTGGGGTGGTGGAGATTTTAGCAGCAGACTGATGCTTCTCCTTAATGCCAAACGCTCCCCTACCGACGTTTTTCATAGACATGAAACTGGTAGAACTAGGATTTACAGTACATGATTCAGAGCGTGAGCTTTAGGAAGAAAAAATAATGGAGACCTAAATACTGGTCCAGACTGGGAGGGGTTGATTTCTCACAATGGTGCTGACACACCGGGATGCCACCACTCACCGGGATGCTGGCCCACTGGTCCTTCATGCGCATGACTCGCTTCTGACCCGCTGACACCGCGCTGTCGATCTCATACTCATGCTTGTGTTGAGCTGACTCGAAGAGTTACCCAATAAAATCAAAGCCATCACTCACCGGAATGCTGGCCCATTGATCCTTCATGCGCATGACCCTCTTCTGACCCGCTGACACGGCGCTGTCAATCTTATCCTCGTGCTTCTTGATTTGTGGATATAAGAACTTCCAGTAGATGATGCTGGCACCCTGACAAGTATAGCGGATAACAAGACAGCACATAATGGGTCGCGCAATCAGGAACACAACACTAATGCGACGACAGACTGAGCTCGCGCAGAGTGACGTAACTCTCCGGCGAGTTACATGCACCGAGGAAAAGAAAGATGGAACGCTCTCACGAAGAGACATCTTCGGGAGTGACACAGCACTGAGGCTAAGTAAACCTTTGGCAATTTAGAGTACGGACTGACTACCGGTGGACACGATCTGACCTTTGTCATTGGTAGTTGGAGCCATAGAACGAAGAGGAGCTTGAGGGAGAAGAAGATGGGAAGCCTGCACGCCACAGAGGGATTTGGCAATTCTCAGTGGTGAGTGTCAGGGACGTAAGTCGGTAGAATGAAACAGAGACGACAATAGAGACGCCTCAGAGGTCGTGCTGAGAGAAGAGAATGAAACCGAGACCACGGTGCATCGTGGCCAGCTTTTTGAGCTGAATGAAACTCGTCCAGACGAGGAATTCAGTCGCGCTTGCAGGCTATTCCGCACTCGTCCTAAAATTCCGAGCGTCGCTCCAACAGGGACGAGTGGATCCGTGAGACGGACGTGCAACGTACCAGACGAGGACCCAGTAGAAGATGGATTCGACGAAGTTAATGCACGCTAGGACGGTCCAGTACGTGAGCCATTGCGCCTTGTTGTCCGACGATTGCGAATCCAGAGCCTTAAAACTAGCGTAGAACGGATATGCGAAGCTGAGCAGGACCCTGAAAGAACAGAGTGCGGGAGCACAGGAGATCAGGAAAGACGGCGAGACGGTGATCGAAAGCTAAGGAACATAGGTGAAGGGTGGAGGCGACAAAACGCGATGCGAAAGTTAGTTTTAGATGTATCAGTGTGTCGTACACGAGGGGCTTCACGATGAACTCGGTGGTGAGGTGAGGCGACGCTACCACGGTAGCTACAGCGGTCGAGGCCATAGATTCGATGACAGATACGATATGAGACGAGATCATACGGAGCGCGCGTCGGCCATGGATCGGGATTGTGTCTTACCTAAAAACAAATTACTGAACTAAGCAGAATTCCTGCAAATCTGGGAAATGCAGACACGAATCCTGCCTGATTCTAGGGATTGTCGGTAACTGGGTGGTGCCGGCATTTCGTAAGGCAATTTGGTTACCACTTTTTGTCGCTCCAGTAATGTTTTTGCGACGAAAAGTTGCATTCCACTTCTTCGCTGTACCTGAGGGTGGCGAAGAAGTTACAGGGTAGTGGTTGGTGGTGACGACGCATAGCCAATTAGAAACCAGATCGCCGACAGGGACCAAGAAAAAGCACGTTAGGCGAACAACCGTCAGGTTGACGAGAAGTTCGCGAACGGTGAACGACACTCGGGAGACACAAATGTCGATCACTAATCTGAACCGTCCCCACACTGCTACTTCCAGAGTAGAAGCTCCTCAGTCCGCCAGCGCCAGGGTCAATCAGGAAATGCCGCCTCGATGAATTCAGCAATGGCTTTTAAAGCGTCAGGCTCGCTGCTTCTCATAAAAGATATATTGAGAAGAAGGACGAGATTGGTGACGCTTGTCGTTCTGTTGTTGGTTCTGTCGGGCCGTGGACTAGCGACTCCCCGCAGAAGAACAGCGGGAGACGCGGAACTGCGGGATAGGCATGGGGAAGCGGAGATCGAAGGGATACGAAGAAGAGTTCTTGCAGCGTCGCGCGTGGAAGGTGATCGTAGTGCGACCCACTAGGAGTAGTAGTAGCTAGGGACGCAGGATAAGCAATACCAGCTATTACGTATGATTGGTATCATATTTTTTTTTTGTCACCTCCTGACAAAATATTTCGATCTCCCGTTTCAAATCGCCAACCCTGTTCCAGCCCGCGTTTCAGCCTCTCCACCAATATCATCCCTGGCCACGCATCCTATACCTGCCTGTTCCCATTCCAACCCTTTTTAACCCTGTGAAGAGCTTCAACCGTTGCTCGTCTTTACCCGGTCACACGTCCCCTCCCTGCCTCTACCCAACCTTCAGCACTCTCCCGCGCGAATTGCACTCACGAGCAACACAGCGGCGACGGCGGTAGCAATGGTGGTAACCAGCTGCCGCCGTGGAGCCCGCATGTGCCGCGAGCCATCCTGACGCGAGGCATCGCGCACGAGGGGGACATGCTGCGATTCGATCGCCTGCTGCACAAGGCATGCTGGGGCTAGAGGGGGGGGGGATGGGGGTATGCGTTGACTCCAGTTGACTCGAATTGACCCCATTATTTTGCTGAGAGAGGTGTCTCGCACGAGGGGGACATTCTGCGCTTCGATCGCCTGCTGCACAAGGCATGCTGGGGCTGAAGGGGGTGCAGATGGGCAGAGGGGGGAGTAATGGATTTTGATTTGATATTTGGGGCGAGCCTTCTGCTTCAGCTGTCACCCCTCCACCAAACTCACCCCCCATTTTTCCGGCCTACCTACGCCCCTCATCGCATGCCTCCATTGTTTCCCCCCATGCCTCATCCCACATGCGCCCTCCCATGCAGATCATAGTACGTTGAGAGCCCATCACAGTGGTGGCCATCGGCAGCAGCTGCAGCTACACGTCTTTCTTGGAAGAGGGGTTGGGGGGAGGTGTAAGGTGGTTTACTCAATCTCACCCAACGGTCCAACCCCCCTGAATGCACGCAGATCATAGTGCGGCGAGAGCCCATCACAGTGGTGGCCATCGGCAGCAGCTGCACGTCTGAGTTTGGTGGCAGGAAGGGCCCGCAGCTCAAGCTGCTCAACCTCGATGCCTTTGAGTTCGGCCGGTGGGTGGGAGGGAGGAGAGAGGAGAGATTCACACGTGGTTTCCTTTGGGTTGATTCCGAGTGAGTCAGAGTCAGAGTGTGAGGAATTCTGGGGCTTGAACACTGCCCATGTGTTTAATTTTGAGCTTCAGTTGGTGGCAGGAAGGGCCCGTAGCTCAAGCTGCTCAACCTGGATGCCTTTGTATTCGGCCGGTGAGAGGCGGGAGAGAAATTCACATTTGGTTTCCTTTGGGTTTGATTCCGAGTGAGTCTGAGTCAGAGTGTGAGGAATTTTGGGGTTTAAACACTGCCCATGTGTTCAATTTTGAGTCACAGTTTGGCGGCAGCAAGGGGTCGCAGCTCAGGTTGCTCAACCTTGACGCATTTGAGTTCGGCCGGTGGGTAGGGGGGGCTCGCGTTTGAGTTCCTTGGGGCTTGATTGGTTCGAGTCACAGCCAGAGCCAGAGTCAGTGGAAGAGTTTAACTTGATGTTTGATTTCATGTTTGATTTGATGTTTGATTCTATCGGGGGTGGCAAGGTTTGTAACTCAAGCTGTGTAACCTGCTCCGCCCTTTCCCATTCCCTCACTCCCCCCCCACCAGAGTGGTGCATCCAGACGGTTGGCTCACAGCTGCGTTGGACTGGCTGCTAGCAGCGTTCCCAACCAGCAAACCGCACGACTTTACCACCGCCCCTTTACCGGACGCCGTGCCAGCGCAGGACCAGGCCCCCCAGCAGCCCTACTGGCTGCTCAACCTCGCAATAGGGGCCATTGGGCCGCAGCCATGGGGGAAATGCCTCGGGTGAGTGCACTTCCACACGTGCAGGTAGGGGGTGAGTGAATGCATGGGGGGTGAGTGCCAGCGCAGGACCATCCCCCCCAGCAGCCCTACTGGCTGCTCAATCTTGCAATAGGGGCCATCGGCCCTCAGCCCTGGGGCAAGTGCCTGGGGTGAGTGCGGTTCTCATGTGTTGGCAGGGGTGAATGGCTGGTGGTTCAGTGCATGGGCTGCCTGCTGCCAGCATGCCTCCGAGCACTCCTACTGGCTGCCTGGACATTGGGGCTAATAGTAATAGCCCCATAACCCAGTAGCCCAATAGCCCAATAGCCTAATAGCCTAATAGCCCAATAGCCTAATAGCCTAATAGCCTAATAGCCCAATAGCCCAATAGCCCAATAGCCCAATAGCCCAATAGCCTAATAGCCTAATAGCCCAATAGCCCAATAGCCCAATAGCCCAATAGCCCAATAGCCTAATAGCCTAATAGCCTAATAGCCCAATAGCCTAATAGCCCAATAGCCTAATAGCCTAATAGCCTAATAGCCTAATAGCCTAATAGCCCAATAGCCTAATAGCCTAATAGCCCAATAGCCTAATAGCCCAATAGCCCAATAGCCTAATAGCCTAATAGCCCAATAGCCCAATAGCCCAATAGCCCAATAGCCCAATAGCCCAATAGCCTAATAGCCTAATAGCCCAATAGCCCAATAGCCCAATAGCCCAATAGCCTAATAGCCTAATAGCCCAATAGCCCAATAGCCCAATAGCCCAATAGCCTAATAGCCTAATAGCCTAATAGCCCAATAGCCTAATAGCCCAATAGCCCAATAGCCTAATAGCCTAATAGCCCAATAGCCTAATAGCCCAATAGCCCAATAGCCTAATAGCCTAATAGCCTAATAGCCTAATAGCCCAATAGCCTAATAGCCTAATAGCCCAATAGCCCAATAACTCAATAGCCCAATAGCCCAATAGCCCAATAGCCCAATAGCCTAATAGCCCAATAGCCCAATAGCCCAATAGCCCAATAGCCCAATAGCCCAATAGCCCAATAGCCCAATAGCCCAATAGCCTAATAGCCTAATAGCCCAATAGCCCAATAGCCCAATAGCCCAATAGCCCAATAGCCTAATAGCCTAATAGCCTAATAGCCCAATAGCCTAATAGCCCAATAGCCCAATAGCCTAATAGCCTAATAGCCTAATAGCCTAATAGCCCAATAGCCTAATAGCCTATTAGCCAATAGCCTAATAGCCCAATAGCCTAATAGCCCAATAGCCCAATAGCCCAATAGCCCAATAGCCTAATAGCCTAATAGCCTAATAGCCCAATAGCCTAATAGCCTAATAGCCTAATAGCCTAATAGCCCAATAGCCTAATAGCCTAATAGCCCAATAGCCTAATAGCCCAATAGCCTAATAGCCCAATAGCCCAATAGCCCAATAGCCCAATAGCCCAATAGCCCAATAGCCCAATAGCCCAATAGCCCAATAGCCTAATAGCCTAATAGCCCAATAGCCTAATAGCCTAATAGCCTAATAGCCTAATAGCCCAATAGCCTAATAGCCTAATAGCCTAATAGCCTAATAGCCCAATAGCCTAATAGCCCAATAGCCCAATAGCCCAATAGCCTAATAGCCCAATAGCCTAATAGCCCAATAGCCTAATAGCCTAATAGCCTAATAGCCTAATAGCCCAATAGCCTAATAGCCCAATAGCCTAATAGCCTAATAGCCAAAAGCCCAATAGCCCAATAGCCTAATAGCCTAATAGCCTAATAGCCCAATAGCCCAATAGCCTAATAGCCTAATAGCCCAATAGCCTAATAGCCTAATAGCCCAATAGCCTAATAGCCCAATAGCCCAATAGCCCAATAGCCCAATAGCCTAATAGCCCAATAGCCCAATAGCCCAATAGCCCAATAGCCCAATAGCCCAATAGCCCAATAGCCCAATAGCCCAATAGCCCAATAGCCCAATAGCCCAATAGCCCAATAGCCCAATAGCCCAATAGCCTAATAGCCCAATAGCCGAATAACCTAATAGCCTATAGCCAATAGCCCAATAGCCTAATAGCCCAATAGCCCAATAGCCTAATAGCCCAATAGCCTAATAGCCCAATAGCCCAATAGCCTAATAGCCTAATAGCCCAATAGCCCAATAGCCCAATAGCCCAATAGCCCAATAGCCCAATAGCCCATAGCCCATAGCCCCAATAGCCCAATAGCCCAATAGCCCAATAGCCCAATAGCCCAATAGCCCAATAGCCCAATAGCCCAATAGCCCAATAGCCCAATAGCCGAATAGCCGAATAGCCCAATAACCCAATAGCCCAATATTCCAATAGCCTAATAGCCCAATAGCCCAATAGCCCAATAGCCTAATAGCCTAATAGCCCAATAGCCTAATAGCCTAATAGCCCAATAGCCTAATAGCCCAATAGCCCAATAGCCCAATAGCCCAATAGCCCAATAGCCCAATAGCCTAATAGCCCAATAGCCCAATAGCCTAATAGCCCAATAGCCTAATAGCCTAATAGCCTAATAGCCTAATAGCCCAATAGCCTAATAGCCTAATCGCCTGATAGCCCAATAGCCCAATAGCCTAATAGCCTAATAGCCCAATAGCCTAATAGCCTAATAGCCCAATAGCCTAATAGCCCAATAGCCCAATAGCCCAATAGCCCAATAGCCCAATAGCCCAATAGCCTAATAGCCTAATAGCCTAATAGCCCAATAGCCTAATAGCCTAATAGCCTAATAGCCTAATAGCCCAATAGCCTAATAGCATAATCGCCTAATAGCCCAATAGCCCAATAGCCCAATAGCCTAATAGCCTAATAGCCCAATAGCCTAATAGCCCAATAGCCCAATAGCCTAATAGCCCAATAGCCTAATAGCCTAATAGCCCAATAGCCTAATAGCCTAATAGCCTAATAGCCTAATAGCCCAATAGCCTAATAGCCCAATAGCCCAATAGCCCAATAGCCCAATAGTCTAATAGCCCTATTGCCCAATAGCCTAATAGCCCAATAGCCTAATAGCCTAATTGCCAATAGCCTAATAGCCTAATAGCCTAATAGCCCAATAGCCTAATAGCCTAATAGCCTAATAGCCCAATAGCCTAATAGCCCAATAGCCCAATAGCCCAATAGCCCAATAGCCCAATAGCCTAATAGCCCAATAGCCCAATAGCCCAATAGCCCAATAGCCCAATAGCCTAATAGCCCAATAGCCCAATAGCCCAATAGCCCAATAGCCCAATAGCCCAATAGCCTAATAGCCTAATAGCCCAATAGCCTAATAGCCCAATAGCCCAATAGCCCAATAGCCTAATAGCCCAATAGCCTAATAGCCTAATAGCCTAATAGCCTAATAGCCCAATAGCCTAATAGCCTAATAGCCTAATAGCCCAATAGCCCAATAGCCTAATAGCCTTATAGCCGAATAGCCCATCCCTCCCCTTGTCCATCCCCTCATTCGTCCGTCTTTCTCTGCTGACTCAAGCACACCCCATCCCTTTCTCCCCAATCCCCTCTTCCCCATTGGCCCTCTCTCCCAAACCCAGGAGCACATATCTCGCGAAACTTCCCATGACCGTAGATCTGGTGGTGGTAGAATGGGCCCTCGCTGCGACCTACCCCGAGGTAGCCAAGGACATGGACGTGCTGCTGCAGCGCCTGCTCAAGCTCTGGCCCACCCCTTCTCAGTTTATTGCAAGCACACCCCATCCCTCCCCTTCTCTTCCTGCTCCCATGTCCCCTCTCTCCCCCGTCGGCCCTCTCCCTCTCCGCAGGAGCACGTACCTGGCAAAGCTCCCCAAGGAGGTAGACCTGGTGGTGGTGGAGTGGGCGCTAGCAGCCAGCTACTCCGAAGATACCCAAGGACATGGACGTGCTGCTGCAGCTCTGGGCCACACCTTCTTGGCTGACTCAAACACTCCCCATCCCTTCCCTTTTCGTCCTCCTCCTCCTTTCCGGCTCTCGCCCACCCCATCCCATCCCCCGAACCCCAGGAGCACATATCTCGCAAAGCTCCCCAAGACCGTAGATCTGGTGGTGGTGGAGTGGGCGCTAGCAGCGAGCTACCCCGAGATAGCCAAGGACATGGACATTGTATTGCAGCGCCTGCTCAAGCTCTGGCCCACTCCGCCCGCCTTCCTCTTTGTGCATTTCTTCTTCTGGTGCCGGGGCAACCTCTGGTGCCGCACATGGCTGGTAAGGCTTTGGGGCGCCGCCTGGCAGGTATGAGTTGAGCTTTGAGGCGCATCAAAACCTGTACTGACTGGTGCCCGCCTTCCTTCTTGTACACTACTTCGTTGGCAGCCGTCCTCAGAAGCATTGCGTGCCCTCGGACTCTCTCCCTCTCCCATCTCTATCCCACTCTCTCTCAATTTATGTCCCATCAGACGGATCCCAAGGCGGGGGTGGAGCTAGTGGAGGAGGGACCACAGCTGTCCGCTGACCCGTGAAAGGATATCTGCAAACCTGTTGTGTTTTCCTGAGTCGCTCCCCCATTCCTCTCTCCCATTTCTCCCCCGTTCCATCAGACAGATCCCAAGACGGGGGTAGAGTTGGTGGAGGAGGGCCCACAGCAGCCGTTGACTCGGGAGAACATCGGGGTGTTCTCGTTTGACTCGTTTGACCGCCGCGGCACGGGGCGAGTGACAGAGGACGATTTCCTGGTGCTTGCGCGTTACTACGGCTTCCCTGCCATCTCCATGCGCAATGCGTTTTGGAACCTCGCAGCGCAGCAGGTGAGGCTTGGAGCTAACAGCATATGAATTCTCACTTTGACCGCAGCAGCACGGACCGAGTGACAGAGGACGATTTCCTGGTGCTCGCGCGTTACTACGGCTTCCCAGCAATCTCCATGCACGATGCCTTCTGGAACCTCGCATCGCAGCAGGTGGGTTGGTCTTTTGCCACTCAAGGTGAACAAGGTGACACCAGCTTACACTTTTGACTTTTGAGTCGCCTCAAAAGTCGCCTCAAAAGTCGCCTCAAAAGTCGCCTCAAAAGTCGCCTCAAAAGTCTTTTGAGGCGCCTCAAAAGTGGGTTGGTCTTTTGACACTCACGGTGAACAAGGTGACACCAGCTTACACTTTTGACCACCACAAACACACCACGTGAAGCGAGGGTGTTTTTGAGACGTCTCAAAAACACCCTTGTACTTTTGACCACCACAAACACACCACGTGTAGCGAGGGTGTTTTTGAGACGTCTCAAAAACACCCTTGTACTTTTGACCACCACAAACACACCACGTGTAGCGAGGGTGTTTTTGAGACGTCTCAAAAACACCCTTGTACTTTTGACCACCACAAACACACCACGTGTAGCGAGGGTGTTTTTGAGACGTCTCAAAAACACCCTTGTACTTTTGACCACCACAAACACACCACGTGTAGCGAGGGTGTTTTTGAGACGTCTCAAAAACACCCTTGTACTTTTGACCACCACAAACACACCACGTGTAGCGAGGGTGTTTTTGAGACGTCTCAAAAACACCCTTGTACTTTTGACCACCACAAACACACCACGTGTAGCGAGGGTGTTTTTGAGACGTCTCAAAAACACCCTTGTACTTTTGACCACCACAAACACACCACGTGTAGCGAGGGTGTTTTTGAGACGTCTCAAAAACACCCTTGTACTTTTGACCACCACAAACACACCACGTGTAGCGAGGGTGTTTTTGAGACGTCTCAAAAACACCCTTGTACTTTTGACCACCACAAACACACCACGTGTAGCGAGGGTGTTTTTGAGACGTCTCAAAAACACCCTTGTACTTTTGACCACCACAAACACACCACGTGTAGCGAGGGTGTTTTTGAGACGTCTCAAAAACACCCTTGTACTTTTGACCACCACAAACACACCACGTGTAGCGAGGGTGTTTTTGAGACGTCTCAAAAACACCCTTGTACTTTTGACCACCACAAACACACCACGTGTAGCGAGGGTGTTTTTGAGACGTCTCAAAAACACCCTTGTACTTTTGACCACCACAAACACACCACGTGTAGCGAGGGTGTTTTTGAGACGTCTCAAAAACACCCTTGTACTTTTGACCACCACAAACACACCACGTGTAGCGAGGGTGTTTTTGAGACGTCTCAAAAACACCCTTGTACTTTTGACCACCACAAACACACCACGTGTAGCGAGGGTGTTTTTGAGACGTCTCAAAAACACCCTTGTACTTTTGACCACCACAAACACACCACGTGTAGCGAGGGTGTTTTTGAGACGTCTCAAAAACACCCTTGTACTTTTGACCACCACAAACACACCACGTGTAGCGAGGGTGTTTTTGAGACGTCTCAAAAACACCCTTGTACTTTTGACCACCACAAACACACCACGTGTAGCGAGGGTGTTTTTGAGACGTCTCAAAAACACCCTTGTACTTTTGACCACCACAAACACACCACGTGTAGCGAGGGTGTTTTTGAGACGTCTCAAAAACACCCTTGTACTTTTGACCACCACAAACACACCACGTGTAGCGAGGGTGTTTTTGAGACGTCTCAAAAACACCCTTGTACTTTTGACCACCACAAACACACCACGTGTAGCGAGGGTGTTTTTGAGACGTCTCAAAAACACCCTTGTACTTTTGACCACCACAAACACACCACGTGTAGCGAGGGTGTTTTTGAGACGTCTCAAAAACACCCTTGTACTTTTGACCACCACAAACACACCACGTGTAGCGAGGGTGTTTTTGAGACGTCTCAAAAACACCCTTGTACTTTTGACCACCACAAACACACCACGTGTAGCGAGGGTGTTTTTGAGACGTCTCAAAAACACCCTTGTACTTTTGACCACCACAAACACACCACGTGTAGCGAGGGTGTTTTTGAGACGTCTCAAAAACACCCTTGTACTTTTGACCACCACAAACACACCACGTGTAGCGAGGGTGTTTTTGAGACGTCTCAAAAACACCCTTGTACTTTTGACCACCACAAACACACCACGTGTAGCGAGGGTGTTTTTGAGACGTCTCAAAAACACCCTTGTACTTTTGACCACCACAAACACACCACGTGTAGCGAGGGTGTTTTTGAGACGTCTCAAAAACACCCTTGTACTTTTGACCACCACAAACACACCACGTGTAGCGAGGGTGTTTTTGAGACGTCTCAAAAACACCCTTGTACTTTTGACCACCACAAACACACCACGTGTAGCGAGGGTGTTTTTGAGACGTCTCAAAAACACCCTTGTACTTTTGACCACCACAAACACACCACGTGAAGCGAGGGTGTTTTTGAGACGTCTCAAAAACACCCTTGTACTTTTGACCACCACAAACACACCACGTGTAGCGAGGGTGTTTTTGAGACGTCTCAAAAACACCCTTGTACTTTTGACCACCACAAACACACCACGTGTAGCGAGGGTGTTTTTGAGACGTCTCAAAAACACCCTTGTACTTTTGACCACCACAAACACACCACGTGTAGCGAGGGTGTTTTTGAGACGTCTCAAAAACACCCTTGTACTTTTGACCACCACAAACACACCACGTGTAGCGAGGGTGTTTTTGAGACGTCTCAAAAACACCCTTGTACTTTTGACCACCACAAACACACCACGTGTAGCGAGGGTGTTTTTGAGACGTCTCAAAAACACCCTTGTACTTTTGACCACCACAAACACACCACGTGTAGCGAGGGTGTTTTTGAGACGTCTCAAAAACACCCTTGTACTTTTGACCACCACAAACACACCACGTGTAGCGAGGGTGTTTTTGAGACGTCTCAAAAACACCCTTGTACTTTTGACCACCACAAACACACCACGTGTAGCGAGGGTGTTTTTGAGACGTCTCAAAAACACCCTTGTACTTTTGACCACCACAAACACACCACGTGTAGCGAGGGTGTTTTTGAGACGTCTCAAAAACACCCTTGTACTTTTGACCACCACAAACACACCACGTGTAGCGAGGGTGTTTTTGAGACGTCTCAAAAACACCCTTGTACTTTTGACCACCACAAACACACCACGTGTAGCGAGGGTGTTTTTGAGACGTCTCAAAAACACCCTTGTACTTTTGACCACCACAAACACACCACGTGTAGCGAGGGTGTTTTTGAGACGTCTCAAAAACACCCTTGTACTTTTGACCACCACAAACACACCACGTGTAGCGAGGGTGTTTTTGAGACGTCTCAAAAACACCCTTGTACTTTTGACCACCACAAACACACCACGTGTAGCGAGGGTGTTTTTGAGACGTCTCAAAAACACCCTTGTACTTTTGACCACCACAAACACACCACGTGTAGCGAGGGTGTTTTTGAGACGTCTCAAAAACACCCTTGTACTTTTGACCACCACAAACACACCACGTGTAGCGAGGGTGTTTTTGAGACGTCTCAAAAACACCCTTGTACTTTTGACCACCACAAACACACCACGTGTAGCGAGGGTGTTTTTGAGACGTCTCAAAAACACCCTTGTACTTTTGACCACCACAAACACACCACGTGAAGCGAGGGTGTTTTTGAGACGTCTCAAAAACACCCTTGTACTTTTGACCACCACAAACACACCACGTGAAGCGAGGGTGTTTTTGAGACGTCTCAAAAACACCCTTGTACTTTTGACCACCACAAACACACCACGTGTAGCGAGGGTGTTTTTGAGACGTCTCAAAAACACCCTTGTACTTTTGACCACCACAAACACGCCACGTGTAGCGAGGGTGTTTTTGAGACGTCTCAAAAACACCCTTGTACTTTTGACCACCACAAACACACCACGTGTAGCGAGGGTGTTTTTGAGACGTCTCAAAAACACCCTTGTACTTTTGACCACCACAAACACACCACGTGTAGCGAGGGTGTTTTTGAGACGTCTCAAAAACACCCTTGTACTTTTGACCACCACAAACACACCACGTGTAGCGAGGGTGTTTTTGAGACGTCTCAAAAACACCCTTGTACTTTTGACCACCACAAACACACCACGTGTAGCGAGGGTGTTTTTGAGACGTCTCAAAAACACCCTTGTACTTTTGACCACCACAAACACACCACGTGTAGCGAGGGTGTTTTTGAGACGTCTCAAAAACACCCTTGTACTTTTGACCACCACAAACACACCACGTGTAGCGAGGGTGTTTTTGAGACGTCTCAAAAACACCCTTGTACTTTTGACCACCACAAACACACCACGTGTAGCGAGGGTGTTTTTGAGACGTCTCAAAAACACCCTTGTACTTTTGACCACCACAAACACACCACGTGTAGCGAGGGTGTTTTTGAGACGTCTCAAAAACACCCTTGTACTTTTGACCACCACAAACACACCACGTGTAGCGAGGGTGTTTTTGAGACGTCTCAAAAACACCCTTGTACTTTTGACCACCACAAACACACCACGTGTAGCGAGGGTGTTTTTGAGACGTCTCAAAAACACCCTTGTACTTTTGACCACCACAAACACACCACGTGTAGCGAGGGTGTTTTTGAGACGTCTCAAAAACACCCTTGTACTTTTGACCACCACAAACACACCACGTGTAGCGAGGGTGTTTTTGAGACGTCTCAAAAACACCCTTGTACTTTTGACCACCACAAACACACCACGTGTAGCGAGGGTGTTTTTGAGACGTCTCAAAAACACCCTTGTACTTTTGACCACCACAAACACACCACGTGAAGCGAGGGTGTTTTTGAGACGTCTCAAAAACACCCTTGTTCTTTTGACCACCACAAACACACCACGTGAA